CGGAAACTAGGGTTGTTAGGTCCCTCGAATGCAGTTAGAATTGTTAATTCAATTCTTTCTGTATAGATGGCGTGGCGATACTAAAAAAAAATGTTTGATTCCTGGAACGTGGAAATGCTGTCCAACTGAAAGAAATTTTGAGTAAATTTTGTAATATAGTTTTTCCCAATATTTATTTTTAGTAGTATCGCCACGCCATCTATACAGAAAGATTTGAACTAACAATTCTAACTGCAATTTTAAGCTATTCAAGGGACCTAACAACCCCAAGTTTCCGCAACTAAAATAAATTTGATATTGACAGGAGGAGTGTTAATTGACACACCCTGTATATTAATTAACTCAATTGGTATAAATTACTTAAGACATGGCGGAAAATATTATTGGGCGACAAAACATAGACTTAAAACGTATTGAAAAAATTATGAGAATTAAGACAATAACCTTTATTTAAGAAAGTATCACATAGTCAATCATTGACAAATTTGTATGTAAAAAAGCACCAATAAACCTTGAGTACATATTATAGATGGGTGCTTTGATCTGAGGTCAATTTATAACACCTTTTTAATGACTGACTAAATGTTTCTTATTTTTCATGGACATGAACAATAATTATTATTATTGCATCAAAAACTTTCAATGATGGGATTTCGAAAGAAAACTACTGATGCGGTAAAATGTGTTTTTATACAGGTTGTCTTACGGTGACGGCCCATTAGAATATTCCAGTGACTACTTCGATTTGGATTTTGAAAATTTGGGCCCTGTAGTTTTTCGGTAATGCCATTGTTGTAGCACTTCCGGTTATACCTGAAGTCGCCATCTACTTGCTTATTTTAAATGAACACCCTGTATATTTTTGCATGGATTCTACGCGTAATTTTAGGGGAAAGTAATTAAACTGATCCAATTTTTTGCAAGGATGGCTGTGAAATTGCTAGACAATGTGAATTTTCTTTTACGATTTTACGGCCATTGTCCACAAAGTGTTCGTTCTACCGAGCCAAACCGTTAATGCACAATTCTATCTTTTGTTTTGAAGCGTTAGGTGCGCGTGTTCGTCGTGTTTGGTCAGAATATCACGCGGATGGAAGTTGGTGTTTGTTGCGCAATAATGCGCTATCTCATCTTTCGAGATTTGTTCGATTTTTTTATTAAAAATCACTATTTAACTGTCAACCACTCCCCGTATTCGCCTGATTTGGCACCTTACGATTTTTGCCTTTTCGGTAAAATGCATTTGCCGATGAAAGGAAAGCAGAGCCATCCAAAAGGCCTTATACCGACATCGTGAAGGATATTATATAAAATTCAAAAAGTGTCCGAAGCAGTATTAATTGCATATTTCTAACATAAAATTAATAAAATTAAACCTTCGATGTTATGGTCAGTATATTGCATGTTAAAAAGTACACTAAATGGCCAAAATAAATGTAAATATCAGAAAATATCCAAAACTAATATTATATTTGAAAGCAAATCAATTGGATACCGTCCGAAAAAGTCCAGAATTCTAACGAAAGAGGAAATTGAGAGATTTTTACAAGAAGCACCTGATAATAGTTTTCTGCGAGAAAAGGTAATTTAAGGCATACATGGCACTGCTTTGGACGTTCTTCCGCCACTTAATTAGCCGATGCAGGGGCCGATATTACCAGCATTGAACGGCATGGCGGATGGCTTTCTAGTACGGTAGCGGAGACATATATAGAAGATTCTATACAAAACAAAATTTCAATCGCAAATAAATTGTTACCACCTTCAGCAGAGCCTACGGAATTTGCCAATAATACAACTTAAACAATTACAGCAGCAGCCTCATTGAACACCCAGAACTAAAAGCCACAATAACTGATAGCACTGGATCTGGCATAAATTTAACTCACTGCAATTTCGGCATTTTAAAATTAAAATTTTTCTATGCGCATAAAAAAAACGAAGGCTTAAGTTTTGGCTACAATTATGTAGCATATTAATGTTAAAAAAATCGAAAAAGGTCATATTTTTCTTCCTATTTAATTATGTATCTTTTCTAGAGTTGATTTTAGGCGAAAATGGAAGAGGAAAAAAATTTTGTAATTAAATTTTACAAAATATGACTAGTTACAAATCGAATGAATCATGATTATTATTGTAAAAATCGAAAAAATCGCCAAAAATGGGGTTAAAAAACATTACTTTTTACAGATTTTTTTTGTTGTCTTTAAATTGTATATAGGACCTTCATACTTGGCTCAAGAAAACATCATACCAAATTTCATCAAAATCGGTTCTATAGATTTTCCATAATAATTTTGCAATCCAGATTTTGTAAAAAAATTTGCAAATTTTAAAAATTTTGCAGAGCAAAAATCAAGGCCCTTAGATACTTGAAAATTTAATAACATATATTTCAAACGCTTTTTGAAAAATTCGAAGCGTATTTTCAAATGCCTATCGTTAATAATTATTGGTCTTTCAACAGTCCGATAATTATTTATCTTTAAACTTACAAAAATTCGACCAATGTTTAAACAAGCGCCAGAGCTCTCCTAATTGACGGATTCGAATTGTTCAAAAAGCGTTTGAAAGCTTGAGAGCCCTTCTATATGTGATTAAATTTTCAATTATCTAAGGGCCTTGATTTTTGCTGTGCAAAATTTTGAAAATTGCAAATTTTTTTACAAAATCTGGATTGCAAAATTATTATGCAAAATCTATCGAACCGATTTTGATGAAATTTGGTGTGATGATTCTACATAACATGAAGTTTTCTTGAGCCAAGTATGAAGGTCCTATACCCAATTTAAAGACCCCAAAAAATCCCTAAAAAGTAATGTTTTTTAACCCCTTTTTTGGCGATTTTTCGATTTTTACAATAATAATCATGATTCATTCGATTTGTAACTAGTCATATTTTGTAAAAAATTTAATTACAAACATTTTTTCCTCTTCCATTTTGGCCTAAAATCAACTCTTGAAAAGATACATAATCAAATAGGAAGAAATATATGACATTTTTCTAATTTTTTTAACATATTGTGCCGCCAAAAGTTAAGCCCGCTTTTTTTTATGCGCATAGAAAAATTTTCATTTCTAGTGATATTTGAAAGCCAAAAAGCCAAAAATCTCCGTGGATATACGATTCACCCAAACCAAAATAGATACCGCCTATTTTTTTTTATAGTCTTTGGCGTTCTAGAACATACAAGTATTTTGTAGCTAGGTGACAAAAAAGACTATGTCAACTGAAAATTTAACGAAAATGTCGACTTTTGATGACAGTTTTCGACAAAACTTTTTGTTCTTATTTTAAGAAGTCCTGTTTACTTTGAAACGCACCTTGTATAAAGAAACTGGACTTTATCTTAAATGTTTTCAAAGAATGTTGCGCGAAATAATCTATTTCATTATTTTTAACTGCAGTCATGTAATTTATAACAGTGAAATATTATTACACATTATTTCAAAAGATAAATCAAACCTTTTCTATCTCAAACCTAAATTACCAACTATAGTAAATAAAATGACTAGAGTTAAATATTTTTTGAGGTGTAACTTTCACTTAGTTCGTTGTGTTTTTAAATATAAACTATTTATGGTTTACCGTTCGCGATCAGTTGGTTTATTCCGTAAACGAATACTTTAATTTGGCATTTAGTACAGTTATTGAAGCTGAAAATCAGCTGTAACCTCCGAATTCTTTGAAACTGCATGGATTTGCATGAAAATTTAGAATAAGGCTCATCTTAGGCTCAAGTTCAAAGGTGACATAAGACCGATTGACGGTTTTTGTTTTTTTTGGGGGTTAAAAACTACCCCTAAGTGAAACAAATTGAAAAAATTAAATTTTAAGCATTTTTTGATAAAAATCTTGTTCAAGCATAAAGATTAAATAATGTTCAATGTTCTCGAACATGTTTTATGGTATATTTGATCTTTTCGATAGCTAATAAAAGAATTTTTCCCTTCCAACCCCTAAAAACCACCCCTGTATTGACAAAAATGATAAAAAATTACTTTTTAAAAGCTTGTAATGCTTTCACGGTGCAATTATTTAAAATAAAAATTCCCTCATTGCTTATGAAAGAATTTGTTTCTCATAACACTTTTCAACCCTTATGTATCACCCCTGTGCTATAGGAATAAAAAACGCAAAATATTTATTGAAAAAAAAGCTACATTTTTGTTGAAAAATACGTTTTCAACTTTTACCGTATATTATTCAAAAAGTACGCATTCTAAACTGGTCTAACTTTAGGATCGTATGAAAAACTAATTGTAAAGGGTCTACGATTAATTTTAATTCTGATGGAAAAGGTACAGTGTTTACTGCTCATTTTTCTTTAAAAAAATATGAGCAACCCAACTGTTTTTGATGATAACTCCTTCAATTTTGCTCTAATTAACTTTTATAAGTGCTCATTTTTAAGGTCTTTTTGAGTACCTACTACAAAAAATTTCTGGAGCATTATACACGTAAAATTAATCCTTTTTCCGTTATTTGACTGAAGACATCGATTCGAGTATTCCCCCCAAAACAAGTCCCCTTCTACTAACCATATTTCGCTTTGTATAGGACGTACATTTTTTAAAAAACGATTTTCTTTGTTTATTTATAAGCTACATTTTTGTTCATTACACTTTTTTAAATAAAATGCGTAGTTTTTTAATTATTCGCGAAAACTACTTTGAAAAAGTGTTTTTTTCACTCAAAATTCCAAGTTTTCAATCTTGCATAACTAAAAAACTATTGATTTCTCGAAAAAATTCTTCAAATGTTTTTTGCTCACAATTTGATTCTCTATCGATTTCCAGTAAAAAATCCACCCCCGAGAAGGGGTGTCAATCCCCAACAGGGTGGAAGCGTCAATTGGCGCTATGTCACTAATGTTCATTGACCTTTTCTCTAACTATCTGCCAAATTTCAAGTCGATCGGTTCAGTTTCAAAGAATTCGGAGGTGAAAACCTTCAATGACTGTACTAATTCATTGATACATTTTTTTTTCTTTTTCAGGGACATGTCTGTGGCCGAAAAATGCTTGGATGCCGTCGTAAATGAAAACTGCGCTTCCTCCCCAGCTTACAAAGACTTGGTGAAGACATTCTTCCGTTATATAAGCAAACCATGTTCAGGCTGTGTCAATCAAATCAGTATTTTATTACTGGCATTGTCTGTGTTTCTACCTTACTTATTTAGCGAGAAGTAAACCATCCTCATGTGTGAAGCGAGATATTTTGGATGCAAATTTTATTTTTTTTATAGTCCAGTTCGTCTAAAAGTTGCTTCTACGATTAAATACATCATAATTTGGACTTAAAAAAAAATGACTGGGATTAGCTTGGTAATAAAATTAAAGTTTGGTGTAGGTAGGTACCCTTTCCCATAATGTTTACAGAAAAAGGAGAAAACTTCATTACACATTATGTGTATATAATAGTATGAACACTGAAAGTATTCATACTATTAAATAAACCACTATTTAAGAATAAAACATTGTAAATTATAAAAAGAACACTTATTAACATGTCGTTATTGGCAGGTGTAGAATATAACTTTGTATCTTATCTACTTTTACCTCAAATTTGTTTTCGAAGATGAAGAGTTAAGAATGAAGTACAAAAAATACATTGTTTATTACAAATTTGATGCAATTTTTAAAGAAAATTTTTAAATTTTAAATATAACCTTTGATGTTTCGTGTACTTGAAAAAAAATGATAACCGTCTTGGTATTCCTCAGGTAAAGAAAAATGTGTTCCAATATGCAGTTCCTGAATTAAGCATAGGATTAAATACTCCAAAAACCTGATTAAATGTTTCTCTTTATGATTTCTATACTCGGTACAATGCAATTTTATTTTAGATAAAGCTAAATAAAACATACATTTTTGCTTGTTCATTCTTGCCAGTTGCTTTTTAAAATCATGTTCTTTCGTCGAATTTTGCTGCGTTTAATTTAAGGAAGATACTTTTAATTTAATATTTAATTAATGATTTTTGCCTCTGTTTTTTAGGGGTAGATATTATAACACCTTAATAACACGTATAACACCTATTAATTTTGCGTCCTACATTTTCTAAATGTAGTGCCTTTCTGTGATCGGTGATACAAAATTAGCTTAGTATACGTTTGGTTAAATCCCTTGTCGTTGATTAATGTTTTGTGTAATTAATTTTTAATTCCATGAATGTTTAAACCTTAACCTGTTCGGTGTAGATATGTAATATAATAATTTTATGCAAAAAACAAAGCATATACTTTACATCGTTCTTACCAAATTTAAATTTCATAAGTCGTCCTAAAAGATTGTAACTTTTTATTCTCCATATATAGGGTGCTTTTGAAATAAGTGCGTTCATTGAAAAGGGCGATTGAGAAAAATAAGCTACTTTTTTAAGCAACTTTTTAATTTAAAACATTACGTTTTAAATTAAAAAAACAAAATTACGAATTACTTACCAATGAGCAATATGCTCTACAAAAATTGTTCAAAGTTGTTCCCATGTGCTAAAAAACATGCTTCCAAACGACGGTCAAAATTCTCCTACCAAAAACACCACACATTCACTGAAAACCATTGCTGGAACCAAGATCTCTGTACATAGTGAGGATTTGCATCACACCAATAGTGAATACAGTGAAAATTTAGTATTCCGTCTCTAGCAAAACATTCATCCGTATGAATCACCTTGCTTATAAAATCCGGATCTTGTGGTATTTGATGTCGAAACCACTGGCAAAATTCCACACGGGGCTGAAAATCATTATTATTTAATGCCTGAATTCTTTGTACGTGATAAGGGTGTAATAATGGTTCCTGTAGTACACGCCACACAATACGGTTAGTTTTTATATGCCGGTTAAGAAATACTGCAACATACAACACACGTGCACAAGATGCATAGGGTCGGCTTAATTTATAGTTAATTTTCTCGAAAACAGAACCATTAGTTGCTTAACGAAAGTTGCTCATTTTAGTGATCTCTATCACTCTATTCAAGGAACGTACTTATTTCAGAAACACATTGTATATTATTATGATTCTGAAAATCGTTAATATTAAATAATGGGAAAACTGTTACACTGATATCGCTTGTTAAAGTAATGCTTATAAATATTTGTAATTATAATGGGACGTTCGCATAAAAAATGTCTAGTTATATTGATTTAAAAAATTTCTGCTTGAATCGTACACTATTGCTGTTAACCTTATGAAGCATATATTATTATTAAACGCTTGTTTCTGTTAGTAAATAAGAGGAGTATAGTATGATTCGAGTTGCACTTCCTATTAACAGATGGCGGCACAATTAAAGCATAATCACAATGCCAAATTCATTTGACTATTATAATATGTCTAGCTAAATAATGGGTATATTCAGGCGGTCCCAGTGGCTGATACTGCTTAGTAAGAAACTTACCTGAATTGTAGCACTGCTTAAAAGCTGTTCGACAGTGGCTGAGTGTTTTGCCCAGCGTAGAAAGTTGTTGCTTTTAAAAAAGCGGATCGCGATTTTTGACATGAATGACGTTTAAAAATTGGGTTATGTTTATTTGTTTGTGCTTTGTGTGTTGTTTCGTTTCAGGTTCGCGGTAAATAATAGTGGTTTGTGGCCGTTTATTACGATTTAATTATTTTTTGATCACGAAAGTCATTCAGAAAATTCTACTTGAGTCCAAAACACAAAAGAACAACTAGGTTATGTTTTCAATTGTTTTGACTTGTCAGTTAGCCACGCATTCAGCCGAAATAAAGGCGCTGATTAAAGTTTCATTCACAACCAGCCAATTACAATCACAATTAGTACTTAGAATTAATATTAGACGTAGGGCGAAAATTAACGTGTTTTGATCATTCAGAACGTCGAATTCTAGCGAAAATTAATTTACAGTGAAGGTCAAGTATTTCTCAATACCTAAGTGATTAGTGAACACAATACTTTTCGTCTCGGAAACATAGTTTATTGCACAATAATTTAAACAAACAAATTTAATATAAACAAACATTCACCATATTTAAGGTTAGGTGATTTGTCATTTACTCATTTGTTGTGCAAATATGACAACAAGCGCGCACGCGCAAATATTTTTCAATTACAATTAGTGGCAAAAGCTTGGACTTTGCAAAGTACAATTGCAATTTTAAGTGTAAGTATAAGTGAAAACATTAATTTAAAGGTTGTGAACGATCATGTGTTAAGTCACATGCGAAACTTTTACCACCAATTGTACTAATTGTAATTGTAATTGTCTGGTTGTGAATGAAGCTTAACTGCGGCCAGTGGGGCCACAACAGGTTGATGTGCTGAACTTGGCCTGGAACCGCCTGAATGTACCTAATGACAGTAATGACTCATACAAAAATTTAAAAAATGCAGGTCCAGTTTTTATGCTCCAGGTTTTTATTTTATGGTAATATCTAAAGATGTTGTATCTTTAATCATGAAAACATTCGATTCTGTTTTATTTCTTTCTGTGTGCCAAAATTTCAGATTATGTAACTTCGCTCAGGGAACCTTGAGATTAAAATATTAAAGTATTTTTTGAGAGTGCAAAATTTTAGTCAAATGTACAGTAAGTATCTAACAAAACCAATGATTTGTTAGATACTGCTGATGTATGTTTTTTTATCATACTACATGTAGTTTTAAATATCTCGAATTCATTTTCATGTATTGCTTTAAATATTTACAAACTTTTTGTGTATTCTAGACCTAGTGAAATGTCTTATCTTGCTCATCCTCAGGACAGTTATATTTATATATGTTTCACTATAAATGATAAAAAAAATATCCAAAATTTCATGCATTACTTCAAAACATACTGCTATAATTATTGCTGATGTGCTAAATTTTTCAATAGTTTCATAAGCTTAATTAAAGAAGAATTTGAATTTATTTTTTATATTACTGGCTGTTATATATTTGTATTTTATATGTATATTATTCATGTTGTTACCTACTTATAATGTTTATATATATTATATTGTTATACATACAAATTGCTTTACAATAAATATGTAGCACATGCAGGTGCTGTTATTTTATTTCCTCCCCCACGTCCAGTTTTTATCCTTAGAATTTTTATTACTTTTTATCTTCAGTAGTTTCTCCTTGAATTCGTCAAATTTAATGCTCTTCGAATGGTAATAATTGCGGAAATTCAAAACTGATAGCCACAATCTATAAAACGGATGAAATTTTTTTTTTTTCTGAATTATGTGTTATTAAAAATAGTCATCATTTCCAATAATTTTCATGTAATAGCATCCGGTTATTAAAAAGTTTGTGAACACAATTTTTATTTAAAAAAATTTGAGCATAATTTTTAAATATATGGGAAAAAATTACTGTGCAAGATAAAATTTTTGGTTCCTAATTTTTCAATCTCAGAATTTGTTCCCTTCCAACATTAGCGTACAAAGCCCTTATAATCTTAAATGTTGAACCAATACAAACATTTTCTTATTCGGTACCTACTTATATGTCAATGTAATCTATCTGATATCTTCTCTGCTCCTGACAAAAAGTAGAGTCTAACAATATAAACCTTTTCTTGATTCGTATACATGCTTTTTCAAAATAAACAAAAAATACACTGTACCGTCACTGAACGCTGAAATAAATAACCTTATGATATACACTTACACCACACAAAGGCACTTTATGAACACTCTCTTGTAAACCGATAAAATTGAGGCTTAAACTGAAAATGTAACCAAATGAAACAGTGAAGTACTTGGCCATTCCGGTTTTATACCAGGTGTGAAGACAGTGGGCATATCCGTTTTCTAAGGCATGCCAGAACAGAACAGTGGTTTTTAATGTTCATCAACATTAATATAAAAAAAAATATGGTGCGTTTAAAGTAACACGTCGTAATATTAAATCAATCTGTTTTCACTAATTATTTTTCATTAGTTTCACTGTTAAAAAAATATATATTTACAATTAGTTACATATTCCTGTACCAACATTAATTAATATTTCATTAATCATGTAAACATTTTTTTTAGTAGTATGATTTTTTTTAATGTTCTTCGACATTGTGATATCAAAAAAAAGATGTTGAAAATAACACATCGTTAAGTTATACAAAGGCAATCTGTTTTACTTCTAATAATGTAAGTTGATTTAAGAACGGGCAACGATGATAGTGCGCAATTCCGGTTGCCCTTGGTTTACTTCTTCCAGTGGTAGCGTACACAAGAATTAAAGTGCATTTTAAAAAACTAATTACAACTAAAGTATTTATTTGATTAAAAAAAAAGAATTTCAGATTCATATTCAGGGGAACACGTATTTTTTCCCCTAAAAAACTGGTCCCCATCTAAGTTACACCCTGTATACGCAATTAATTTATTTCCTTCCAAAATTCTACTTAGTATGATATTAAATGCAAATCTTGAATTAATTTTTTATAAATCAATTTTTTTTTTATTAAATCAGTATAGAAATAAAATTTAACTTATACCCGAAATTTATGCAACAAAATTTGGTCACAGATTCTCAAGACAAATTTAGGGGACTCGTATTTTTTATTTTTGCCAAGTGGCCCCCTCTTTCAAAGTTACAGCCCCCTGAAGTCCGCCCCTAAGAATAATCTTTTTTTATATCTCAGAACCCTGTTGTACGAAAATCACTAAATTTGGTACACAGGTATTTTATGACATGTGGAATCTGATGGTGCTACGTATTTTGGCGGGGAACCCCCTTAAGACAATTTTTCGTGGGCCCCCTTGTCTGGAGCCAAAAAAATTTGGTCGCATATTTAAATTTCTTGAAAATTATCAGTCCACTAGAAAGCCATTAAATTTAGAAACTTTTTGTCTCTCTATACTTTTTTCGTAAAACGCGATGTTTTTGAGAAAAATGTCAAAATGTGATCGAATGTATATCGTGATTCGCCATTTTCCTCAAAAACATTGCATTTTACGAAACAAATATCAAGTGACAAAAAAGTTTCTAAATTCCATGGCTTTCTAGCTAATAATTAAAAAAAAAAATCAAATTTGCGACCAAATTTTTCTGGTTCCAAAGACAAGGGAGCCCACGAAAAAGTGTCTTAAGGGCGTTTCTCGCCAAAAAGCGTAGCACTGTGAGATTCTACGTGTCATAAAACTCGTGTGTACCAAATTTAGTAATTCACGTCAACATGGTTTTGAGATATAAAAATGGGGCAGATTTCAAGAGGGGTCCGGTCTCCGACAGAGGGGGCCAGTTGGCAAAAAGAAAAATACGGGTCCCCTAAATTTGTCCTAACAATCTATGACCAAATTTTGTTGCATGAATTTCGGGACACCCTGTATTGCAATTTTCAGAAGGTCCATAAGAATCTTTTGCAGTTATAAATATTGCATCCTCATAAGTAAAAGACACTTTTTTATTATAATCAAGTTTGGTAGTGGAAAAAAATGGTTTACCAAAGTTTTCACCCAGGTACCTTTTTGTGATATTTCTAACTTTTATATAACTTTTAGTTATTGAGAAAATATACAGGGTGTTACTTTGAGCAGGGGTCATATTTATACATAGGCTTCCTTTGATCTTTAGAAACAAGTACCAATAGTTTATTTTGTCAAGTTCCATCGTAAAAACAAAATTTTTTTTAACCTTTTTTAATAATTTTCGTACCGCGCTGCTGGACAAGCTAGTGTAACCTCAAATAACTCCGCCTCACACCACTCGCCGCGAGAACGAGTGGGTATTCACCACACAAACAGTCTGTTTACTCACATGAATTTTATAACATTTTTCTTAATTTGTTCCAGTCCAATATTATTTGTATTGACATTCAAAGCTCGCATAATCTCTTAAATGTGTAATCTGCCCCTTTTAGCTATGTGGACCTCAGGATACTTACTTTGTTTGGAATTTAATAACAAACTGTTTTCTGTTTGAATCTAACTTCGACTTCACAGTTAGATGTACCGTCTTCAAATATGGAACAACTGATCCCCCTTTATTTCGTCTCCGGTAACCTGCACTATCTCTCTCCGCACGCACTGTGCGTTGCCAACAATTCATGTAAATATTTGTAATACCTGAATATTACAGTGGCGACGATACACACGAATTAAAGTGCGTTTTAAAAACTAATTATTTAATTAAGAAAAAAGAATTTCAGAATGATTACAATAAAAAATACATATAAATACAATGAATTCATACATACAAGAGTTTTACTGTGTCAACGTAAAAATGATCGGCATCAAATTGAAGAATTGTACCACACATTTACAGTGAGAAATTTATCGAGGACGATTTTTCCATGTTTAAATTGTAAAGGGCGAAATTTTAATGATGGATTGTGATTGAAGTTTGAAAAAAAAATTGTTTTCAATTACAAAAAAAACAAAATAATTCATTTCAACTTGACATGCACTTTAAATTTTCTTCTCTAAGGTACATATTTTAAATTTAACTCGCTATTATGACTAAATCCTAAAAAAAATGTTAAATGATTTTTAAAAATATCAAAACATCAAATTATAATCTAAATGATTTCCCGCCACTGTTTTTTGTTACAACAAACAACATATTTCTATTTTTTTTTAACAACCTGTATCTAAAACCATTTTTGGACACGTATTTATAGAAGTTTTCTTTATAAATTTATTACATAAAATCTATCATTAAAGTTTGACAAAGCGTTTTAGTTACACCTGATACGTGTACGAACTATGAAGCATCTCTAAAAGCTAATGCCGTTACTGCTTTTTGGTGGCCAGAGTATTCCCGTTCCATGCTTCCCGATTTAACGTTCCACAATTTAGCAAACCCGTCGGATGATGCTGTAATAAATTAAGTTGACACAAATTTCGATTTGTTCGTATAAATCGTCAACTTGCCTGTAAAGACGTACTGTCCGTCGGCGCTGAACACAGCGTCCCACACCCACCTCTGATTCTCTTGTTTAAGTTCTTGTAGTATGGAAAAATCAGACGTATTCCATATTTTTGCGGTCTGATCTGCTGATGTGGTAATAAGTAAGCTAAAACAATCCGTTTATTTGCGAAGTTATTTATATGACATTAACTTACTCTGAATCGGGACTGAATTTACATTTTAGCGCGTGCCGTTTGTGCGCCTCGAATTTATGTTTTGGCACCATTATTGTAGACGATTCATTGTCGTAAGTTAGACTCCAAATGTAGCAACGGCCTTTATTGTTGACTGAGGCCATTAGTTGGCTGTCTGGGGATATCGCTATGTCTAAAATCATAGCGTCGTTTTCAGGAATCTGTAATTTAGATATCTGTAAGAGAGAATCTAAGTTAAGGGAATTACTATACCAGTTGTTCATTATTATCAGTTCTAAGGTCCCAGCGGTATATAATGCCATTCTGATCCCCTACAAACAGGTCTGTTTGATTTGGATGCAGACAAACACAATTGATAGGTGCTTGCACTTCAAATATTTTTGGGCACTGATTACTTCTTGACCTGAGATCCCAAATTCTTGCCCTACTGTCTTCGCCTCCAGAGTACATCCACTTCCCATTTTCTTCAAATCCCACAGAAGTTACGTTTTTTGACGTTCCTTCATAGTTAACAATGGCATTTGGATTGTTTGACGTTAAATCGTACATATAAATATGTTGATAACTTGCTGCTGCCAGCAGCTGTTTATCTGGGGTGATTTCTAGAGCGTTTACTTGCTGAAATTAATTCATTCAAGACTTATCCTAAAAAATAGTTTGCAAAACTTACCGACTCAGTATGTTGCATAGTTCTATTGCAAAGACCTGTATGAGTTTGCCATAATTTGATAGTGTGGTCATATCCACCTGTTGCTAGAATAATCTGCTCGTTTTCTAAATTGTCTACAGTCATTTTGTCACAAAAATAGTTTTATTCTTTATACATATTTTATTTTTCAACATGAACTATTTAGGTTATGTTTATGTACTTCTTCTTCTTCTTCTTTACCTGATGCCTATGATAAATTATGAACATAGAAAATATAGTACTATATTTTCTATGATTATGAATTAGGCGACTCTTATTACAAACAAATTGTATAATTGGTTGCTGGTTGCAGTTATGTAACAATCTAGGTAAATAAATAAATAAAATGCTAACAAACAGTGAACTATAATTTGAAGCATCAAAATAAGTATATTTTATGAATTGTTCGAAAGATGGTAGTCATGAAATTTAGAAGGTATAACAGGATTCTACAGGGACATTTATCGTAAGTTAGAAGATAATGCGGAAGATGGCAGAAGCTTCAAAAATATTTAAACAACATCTTAAAATTAAGTTTTATATTACATATATGGGAATTAGGTTGAATTACATTGCTTACTTTGGCTAGAAGAACCTGAAACTAGAAAAATTATCTGATACATTTTATGAACACCTATATAAATTTACAAAATATTCAGTACAGCGTGGCTATGGTCCTTTGAAAATTAAATATTGAATTTGATGTTACTAAAAAAACCAAACTTGAAATAAAAAATAATTTTGATTTATAAACGTTTGTCACAGAAATACTTCAGTTCAAACAAATAACTTCCGGAAAATGTAGGGCAAAGCATATCTTGTTAGTGACGTTCAAGTGAAACTGATGAACAGAAATATAAAAACTGATATTCATTATTAGATGCAAGGAAAATACTACGATGTAAAACGGATTGGTTGTGACGCAAAGGGTAATTTACCTGTCAATAAAAGAATCTAGACAAAAATATATCTCTGTTAGATGTCTGAAACACTCATTATTTGATGAGGAGGCGTATCCCTTTTATAAGCAGACTATTTAAGAAATCGTGCTCGTCCTATTTCCTTAGTGAAACGAGTAATTTAACATTACTAGGGTAAATTACATTGGTATGAGGTGAGTGGCGGGAACGTATTTTTAAAACAAAATACAAGTGGGTTATTTGTATGTAAAAAATCTGTTAGACGTACCAATCTGCCTGATAAAAAAAACTACAAACAGCGTGTTTAAATAAATTGTTCTTTTTTTAATTTTTTCTTATCAAGTAAAATAATTGCAGTGGAAGATTTTGCTATACTTTCGAAATATGGAAAGTATAGGTAGTAAAAATTCATTCAGTACACGTTAAAATTAGTAGACTTTATTTTTTTGTTCTCTTAGAATCAATTTTGTGGATACGTCTTTGGCTTTGTTCTAAAAAAAAAACTTTTTTCTAGGTGCACAATGGATCAGAATAAACCAAAACGGGGTATTGTAGTTCCTCTTCTACTTTGTTGTGCTGCTTTAAACGTTGCCCAGGGACTCCCTCCACAGGGCAATGATTTTCGATACATTGATGTGAGTTATTTATTTATATATTTATTGATATGATATACTGGGTGTAACGCTACAATATGCTAAAATGGAATATTTTCGTCGTCTATATTTAAGAATATTTCCTTCTATAAGCATTTGCTCTTAAAGCTTTTGTTTTTAATATACAAGGTGTTGAAGATTAACAATATTATGTAATATCTCTAAATATCTTCTGAGCAAATGAAGATATTAAAACGAAATGCTCACGTTTTATTAAAATGTCATTCAACGTAAAAAAATTATGTCTCAACTCTAACCAGTGGCGTAGATATGTTAGCATACTTGTTATATTTTCCTCAAAAATTATATGCTGCTACTTTATTTGAAGCNCGGATTGGTTGTGACGCAAAGGGTAATTTACCTGTCAATAAAAGAATCTAGACAAAAATATATCTCTGTTAGATGTCTGAAACACTCATTATTTGATGAGGAGGCGTATCCCTTTTATAAGCAGACTATTTAAGAAATCGTGCTCGTCCTATTTCCTTAGTGAAACGAGTAATTTAACATTACTAGGGTAAATTACATTGGTATGAGGTGAGTGGCGGGAACGTATTTTTAAAACAAAATACAAGTGGGTTATTTGTATGTAAAAAATCTGTTAGACGTACCAATCTGCCTGATAAAAAACTACAAACAGCGTGTTTAAATAAATTGTTCTTTTTTTAATTTTTTCTTATCAAGTAAAATAATTGCAGTGGAAGATTTTGCTATACTTTCGAAATATGGAAAGTATAGGTAGTAAAAATTCATTCAGTACGCGTTAAAATTAGTAGACTTTATTTTTTTGTTCTCTTAGAATCAATTTTGTGGATACGTCTTTGGCTTTGTTCTAGAAAAAACTTTTTTTCTAGGTGCACAATGGATCAGAATAAACCAAAACGGGGTATTGTAGTTCCTCTTCTACTTTGTTGTGCTGCTTTAAACGTTGCCCAGGGACTCCCTCCACAGGGCAATGATTTTCGATACATTGATGTGAGTTATTTATTTATATATTTATTGATTTGCTCTTAAAGCTTTTGTTTTTTTTTGTTTGTTTTTGTATGCAAGGTGTTGAAGATTAACAATATTATGCAATATCTCTAAATATCTTCTGAGCAAATGAAGATATTAAAACAAAATGCTCACAACGTTTTAATTAAAAATTATGTCTCAACTCTAACCAGTGGCGTAGATATGTTAGCATACTTGTTATATTTTCCTCAAAAATTATATGCTGCTACTTTATTTGAAGCATTTATTTTATTATATAGAAAAACTAACTCTTGGTTGTTTGCATGGCTTTTACTGTTTAAATATATTTTAAATTATACAGGGTACCTATTGCACGTGTCAAATATGCAGAACATTTGCTTATTTGCTGTGTATCTGAGATACAGTGTGTAAAAGTTTATAAAATGGTATCAGCAGATTCATCAGAATATATAGGAATATTATTAAAAGAGTAAGAAAATATATGAGAAGATGTACTGATAATATTTATATTGGGACAGAAACGCCGTTTTGAACACATTTTGTAAAAATAATTTAAATAAATTCTGCATTTATCTAAGCGTACCAATTTTGCAAATTAGTAGCAAAAAAACAGTAGATCATTTTCGTTGAAAATAGAATGATAAAAAAAATATATTTGTAATCAGGATACCTCGTATCTATGCCATTCAGATATTTAGACAATATAACATATTTTTTTTAATTTATTTGAATTATCTTAATATCGTTATAATAGAGTGAAAATCGGAGAGCTATTTAAATTTAACTATAATTTTTTAAACTGAAGGTTTGTTTTAAGAAATGCTTTATCTGAATATTTTTATCAGTAATAATAACATTTTCACTAAATACTTAATAATTGAAAATGCTTAATTAATTTTCCTCTTAAATAAATGTTTCATTTTTTTTCTCTTTGTAATAGTAATATTAATAATAATAAGTTTACTTTATTACTAATTTGAATAATACCGATACACACATATTCAAATAATCCATGTGCTTCGTAAATAAGTAAATCTTCAGTTGGTTTAAAAAAATTAAGATTTAATTTTCTGCAACACCCTGTATTCTATCACAACAAACATTGGTATAGTACGATTTTAGATATTCCTGAATAAGAATCCGGTGCAGTTTTTGTCAAAAATATCGCTAATATTAGTTCTCGTTTTTTCTTTCTATAAAACGCGTCATAGTTGGGCATGACGTAGACCACGAAAATGCCGAAATTATACATTCTACTCCGTTTTCTGAGATCAATCAAACAAATAAAAGTTGAAACAAGTCGGTCAATAAATACCAATTTTACATGGGTGGCTACTGCTTAAGTGGGACACACTGTATCGTCTTATATCGTTTGGACAGTTTGCATAATATTTTGGTTTATTTACTGACGCTCCCTAATGGAGAAAGTCGAGATTGTCATGGAACCAGTAATCAAAGGACGATAATTTATATGATCTAGAGGAGAAAATGTTGAACGAAGCGTCATTACAAAAAAAATCTATGTCTAGACTCTAGACATAGAACAAGATAAAGGTATTATCAATATCAATAAATAGATAAATCAGTATCTTGCAAACGATCAAAGCAAATATATGAAAAGTATATTATGTAGATATCATTGTAAACAGAAAAGAAAAGAGAGAAATCCAAAATCCATAAATATACCTACATATTAAAAAAAAACAAAAAATTGGTTCATATATTCGAAATGCAAATCCACTTGACAAGTGACTTGTTTTGAGATCACAATAACTTTCCTAAAACATTGTTCTTTACCAATTTTTCAAAATAGAAAGGTAAAAACGACCAAGAGGTAGAATGTTATGCGAATATTGCCATATATTAAAAATATTTCTTCTAGTATTCCAGCCCTGGAGCTCACCAACTGGCCAGCTGGCTGGTCTCCCAGCTGCGCCCCAAGGAGATCATCGCTCCCATGGAGGTGCCCGTAATCCCCTACCGCTTACCTTTACAGGGTAAGAGAAACTCGGAAGTCACCAACGCCATCATAGGTTCCGAGGAGACTCAGAAGATGTACCGAGACGGTAGAAAATAAACGCTGACGCTTCTGCTTGTGTAATCATGCCACTGCACACGATTGAGAATAACGAACACACTTTTATAAAACCCCGCCTATAAATAAATGGTTCAATATGAGTAGTCTTGTTTTATTTATTTATTTTTTTAATTTTTCAAATAACTAGTTTATCAATCAAAAATGGATATAATAATTTACAACTTTCCATAGCCAACATTTCCCCAAATTTGTCTTATATGTATAGGGTGATTCACTATATTTTGATCCCCCTTTAACTTTTTTACTTTAAGAGTTATAAAAAATGTGAAATACAATAGTTGCACGTGTTTTTATGAATTTTTCGAAAGTGATAGTTGAAAAACAAATGAAGTCCAAACAAAATGGCCGCTGATGCTAACTTTGTTCATTTAAATGGAACACCCTGTATATTTTTAAATATTTGGATAGAACGTTCCCTATCGAGCATAGTCATATGTGGTTTGTTGAGTCCATCTCTAACAATAAGTGAGATACTATTAAAAAAGGAAATGAAGGTTTTTTTATTAGGAAAATAAGATATCTTGTAATTGTTAGACATTTTTCAGGCATTTCTGCCTTTTTTCCAATTACATAAGGATTTACAGATTTAGTTGTAATATATTTTAACATATCGGACATTGATACGATTCAAATTGCGTATAGATATTTTAACTAAATCTCACTATTTATATTATAGGCTGTGAGAAGCCTAATTCATGGACAATGTTGTATGGTAGGCCGTGACAGTGACAGGTAATGTCAAAACAACATTGCTATTGTTTGACAGTTTGTATTATTATTTAATTAAAATGGGTTATAGAGAAGTAGAAAATTGAAATAAAGTTCTTTCCCATACTCTATATTTTAATTCCAAATAATATTTCAATTTTCTACTTCTGTGTAACCTATTTTAATTAAATACTACAAACTGTCAATCAATAACAAAGTGTTCATGACATTACTACGTGTCACAACCTACCATATAACATTGTGCATGAGCAATTGATTTGTCAAAATATATTATAATTAAATCTGTAAATCCTTACATAAATAGAAAAAAGGCAGAAATGCCTGAAAGAGGTCTAACAATTACAAGATGTATGTATTATTTTCTTAATAAAATACCTTCTTTTCGTTTTTTAATAGTATCTCGCTTATTGTTAGAGATGGGCCCAACAAACCTTATATGACTATGCTCCGCAGGGAACGTTCTATCCAAATATGTACAAATATACAGGGTGTTCTATTTAAATTAAGTTTGCATCAGCGGCCATTTTGTTTGGACTTCAATTGTTTTTCAACCATCATTTTTGACAAACTCATAAAAAATCAATCGATCATGCAGCTTTTGTATTTCACATTTTTTTTATAACTCTTAAAGCAAAAAAGTTAAAGGGGGGCTCAAAATATAGTGAATCACTCTGTACAGTGTGTTTCAAAAGTACTTAGTGTAAAAGAAATAGAAGACGTAATTCCACTAACTATTTTTAGACGGAAATTTCATTTCTATTATGTATATTTTGTAATCCCTCTTTAATACTGGATAAAATATGTCTGTTGCTATTTTTTAAGGTTAAGACGAGAAATCATCGCAAAGGGTTCACGAATACTCACATATATAATGCTCTATATATTTTTATATCAATACGTATGTACGTAGGAAACTATTTTGTCTGTGATATAAGTGATATAAGTAGCGCGTAGTAGCTATTTTGTCTGTGATACAGATGCGATGCGAAATTTTAATCTACTTCTCTCTCGCTTTATTTGTTTTATCTAGTCAGCGTATGAATATATATATCACAGTCAGTATAGTTGAGCTATAATAAGCTATATTGTCTCTGATTCAACTCTGCTTTCAACCACAGACAATATAGCTTATCGCTCAGATATATTGCCTGTGGTATCAATTCGTGGCATATTGATTGTTATGTCAGGAATTAATTTTGCACTTAAACTTAGTTAACTTAGACAGTAATATTTTCAGAATTTGTTGCTGATCATGTAACTTAAGTAATAACATCTTTTCAACACGATATTTGACAATAAATTTGGCAATATTTATACACAGTATATATAATATAAGTACCTACCTACTTATATTCTATTTTCTACGGTTTTATTTGATTTCAAATTTTTTTTATTGTATATTCCAATTTTTTATCATTGTTTAAATGCGGTATTTAAACGATATTTTTATCCACAAATCAGTTCTATTACCCAAAAACATGTACTACCACATCTATTCTTGAAAATAAACTACATTTTCAAATACTTTGAAGAGAAAGCGAGTTTATAATACTACAGTGACTAAGTATAATATTTATTCAAAGCAATCAAAAACCAAGTTTTCATTAATATAAAGGACATCAGTGACGACAAAGGTGTCGCAGCATTTTGATTGGTGCCGCCATTTTGCGGCGAATTTCAGAAATGTCGTTTAAAGTAGAATATTTTTTTGAATTTTTTAGCAAATGTAGATAATGTTTTTCGGAACACTCCGTCGTGTATTTATAATAATGTTACCACTTCAATTCAATTAAAAACTAAACGACAAAGAATTGTCGCAAAATGGGCGGGGCTTACACTTCTATTGACGCCGCTGCCCTTTAGTCACTAAGAGCAGTGCTCTAAATAAAATCCGTTACACCAACGACACGTGCTTCGGAAATAGTCATGTTTGAAAATTCTTGGTTTAAAGTGTTGTAAAAAATTAATGCAAGTCTTAAGGGTACGTTTTGAGTATTAACTTCTAACTTATACGTGAATTTTCGTGGAATAAAATCGAAAGTTTATTAGGAGCCTTCAATGTGATAGATGAGTTAACTGTGACCGTTAATGGCTTTTGTTCTTGTATGGAAAGAAAATTCTAGACGAAGGTTCAGCAAGGCGTTTTACGCATGATAAAGGTGTGTCGATAATATCGAAATTACCTATTGTAGATTCAGATATTGTAAATACTTATTTCTTGGTTATAGGTATGCAATAAAATACCTCAAAACAGTAAAAATAATCTGTTAACGTTTATTGGGTTACGACCCAATTCGTAGATTTGTATTATTATTTTGTATTTCAGAAGTTGCCATTCTCAATTCAGTGACTCTAGTTGCCATTTGTTGAAGCGCCATCTTTTGCGATTTAATATTACTATAAGATTGCGGTCAAATGTTGACTAAAATGAATATTATGAATATTTCAATCAACGGATCAAATTAATAAAGAACAGCATCAACTGTCATTTTGCTACAAAATCCCTCTGCCAACCTCGAAATATAAGTTTGATTTTTCAATTAAATTTTACACAGTTCATTAATTTTCACGTATTTTGAACAATTCACTAGACGACATCTATATATTTCTGTTCATAATACTACGACAAGAAATTTTAGTAGTTTTTTTTTTTGGTAAAATAACACAAAAAATATGCCAAATCACCATTTTTGGGCAAACAAGAACATTGATTTTGGTGCTAGGTCAATCTAAGGATCTAGGGACAACGTCTCTTGATTAATTAAACTAGTATCACAACCTTAGAGCATATACTATATGGAGGAAGCACGCTTACTACGACAGTGTAGACGAGTAACAGAAAGAGATAGTTGAGTGCAATCTTTCTCTCTCGCACAACACGTGATTGGCTAACGCAATCCTTCCTCAACACAGAGAAAGAGAGACAGACCGAGTACCCAAACTATCGCCATTTCTCTCTATAGCTTTTACACTTTTTAACACGCGGTGCTTCCTCCATCACAACCGTACCAATTTTGCCCCAAAATGGCGGTTTTTCAAATGTCATTTATGATTGATGTTTCTAAATATTTACCTCCAATCCTCCATATTAATATTTACTACATTTTTTCATGTGTAGCTCACAAAAAACTATCAAAATTTAATCGTCTGTACTTTTTTCGAATTAAAATTTTAAATTATTTTCAAATATACAGTAAAATTGCTCACTAATAAAAGTTTAAGTATTTCCCTTAGACATATGTATTTCATTTAAAAATATATTGAATATCAATCATATACCTATGTCAAGGTTGGTAATAGTTAACTTGTACCAAAATGGCGGGTGATCGCGGTACTTTATCAATTCTTGATCAATTGATTATTGAAACTAGATTAATTTTGCAAATTTACTGTTTTAAAGAAAACGACGAATTCGACATATTCATATTATTTTGTTATCAACGAAGCAATGAGGAAATTTTAACTTTCGCATAAAAATACTCAAAACACTGCAGTATTTATTTATTTTTTAATTTTTCGTCTCAACATGAGTAAAAACATAAAGTCAGTATTATTTAAATACGTTAACTATGTAGATAATAAATTTAAAAAAAATGTTGGCTTTGATAAATATGTAGATAAAAAAAATTGTTTAGTAAATTCACAAAGCTATCAAACCTCCTTGTTTCAAAGCTTTTTATATATGCATTTCGTATTGTTGATAATTTTCGTCGTTAAACAAACACAACATTAAATATTCTTTATAAGCGTATTCTTACAAATTGTCATATTTTAATTATGTGCCTAGTTAAACATACGAACTGTATTATTCTGCTCCAATCTCAGATTGAAGAATTATTTGTTATCCGACTACAGTTTAAATCCATTTGTGTTTGTGTTCAACCATATCAGGGTTTTGCTTGATAAAGCTTTGATAGCCACAACAAATATAAACCAGTATATCACAGGAGGCCTAGAAATAACTCGTGTCCTCTATAGTTCACTTCGAATGAACCTATCAAGCTCAAAGTCTCGCCCGTATTCACAATATCTCCAGCATCAAAACGAAACTGTCAATAATTTTTATAATTAAAACATTTAGCTATATAACAGCATATTAGAAATAAAACAAGAGTCAAACACAAAAAAATAAACTCAATTGTCTGTTATTAAAGCATCTATAAAAACATTAAAAATGTTACTAAATCTAAATATATGAGGCCTGTTCAAAAAATAATCGAACTTTATTTTTTAAACTTTATCATTAATTTTATACAATATTGGCTTTATCTCCTTCAAGGGGGCGACGGGGGGTTGGTAGACGTGGAGATCATTTGCAAATCCATTATGATTATTGAACTTCTATCTCTATGTCGTAGCCGTAAAGATCAATGCAAAATTTTGCGTTGCAACATTGTTCCAGAAAATCGCACGTTTCAAAAATTGTCACTAAATCTTGAAACACGTTGCTTTCAAATAACAATATCGCGAAAACTAAATGAGACATCAACAATCCAAGGACATGTGGTTACAAAGGAAGTAATGCGCAACGCAATGCTGCCAACCACATATCACTATCTATCTCCATTAGCGCCTAAATCAAAATGTTCAGTTATTTTCTGAACAAACCTTTTATTTAATAGATTTTACTTCGTATTTCATTCTTATTTCCTCAGGCAGAGATTTACGGCTAATTATGGACACAGTCTTCAACCCAGTGAAATAAAAAAGCCGTAATCAAATCCGGTCTTATTTTTCAAACATCTGTTTTGATCTCAACAAGATTTTCGACCATATAAATTAACTTTTTCTATTTAATTGTAATATAACGACGTTCTTCCTGTATAACGATGGCCCCCCCATTACATTGTTTCGATGTAGTAAAAGTTTCAATACGTTGGTAAAGGTTCTTCTATCGAACAAATTCGTGTAAGGATGACTATTAACAATTCATTATTAAGGTAGGTCAATGAATTAGGTCAGTTAGATTAATGATTAAATATGTTCAATTTAAAAAAAACAGTGCGTTTTGGTGTGTGATATAAAATTAGATCACTGAAATATTGTGCCTGGCAATGTCCTAAATATAGAAAACCTCAGTCGCATTGTATATCTTGTCATTTTGTTTACAAGTGTAGTGATGAAAAAAGGAGTATTCGTAGATGATTAGAATACCTTTGGCTATTTATAACGGAGTTCGCTGAGTTGAATATGACACTTGAAGGTACATTAATGTTTTTTAAGTCTGTATAACATTCGCAATTTGTTTAATGAGCTATTTTTGTGACAAAACAAAGTTTGGGTTACTTCGAAATTATCACGAGCTTCTATTAAGTTGAAATATATTCAAAACATGTTGCAACTAAGTACATCACTATCTATAAGCATATTAATTATGATTTATATTTACATAATTTTTCCTAAAACTAAGATATCGTTTACTTAGCCACCCTATACATTTTAAGTTTACTGTAATGGTAGAATAATTATGATAACATTTCTTGAAGTCGAAAGAAAATTGTCATTGACTTACTCATTTAAGCAGTACCTAGTATTAATTTGTGCGTTTTTATAATGGAGAATTCAAAAGAGGCGTATCAGTATTTTGCCTTGGAAAAAAGTAAGTTACCAAAAAATTTCTTTGCGAGAACAATACATATGTTTCGTCATTTTAATGCTAGTTTAAAATAATTGTCATTTGTGCTCTCTAGATAATAGGTTTTTTAAATATGTTAATACCTTTCAATCTAATGGTGTAATCCACGTAATAACTTGATAAGGCTAGATTTTCCATCTGAATACCACAGTGCTACATATATTACGATGATTAGCATTTGTTGGAATAGTTAATATTTTTAGAAACAGATTTTTTGTTGAAGACTTAAAAAAATTGCGTTAAATTCGAAGGTATGTAATAGTATATTAAGTATTAAGTTCAGTAAGTGTTCTTTACTTAATAACCGCAGTGACGTTTTTTATGCGCTCAAATATTGAATAAATTTAATTAAAGCTAAAAAGTTTAATATTTTAAAAATATATAAAACAATCAAGTCGTACATGATAAAGTTTTTGCTTTGGTTACCCAATAATTATAGTCAAGTGATCTGCTGTCATTAGAAATTTCTCCAAGAAAATATTTTTGTCATCACTTACATTTATTTTATATACAGGGTGATTCAGAACTTATCCAAAAAAGTTCGAAATTGATTTAAAAATACACTTTTGCACGGCACTGGAAACTGGTTCACTGTAAAACCTGACCCCGCACAATGCGACCGGCATGGCGGTGTGATAAAAACGGACAAAAACTTTCGCAAGGAAAGAAGTAAATAGAATTTTATAGCACCTATTTTATATCGGCAAATTCAAATGCTTTTGCCTTTATTAATTATTAATAAAATTAATTTGTGTTTTTAAATAATAAAATCATTTGACATACACGATATTACAACAACAATTGTTCAAAAATTTATCCACTAACATGTAAACACATTTGGGTCCGCCTTACTAACTTTCTACGAACTAACACAAATGATGTCTTGCTTCACCATAACACAAATACTTCACCATAATACAAATGCTGTCTTGCTTCACCATAAATTAAAACGATATCCATTAACTCTGAGTTGCTATACACGCAAACCATTTTTGACACTAACTAATAAAAACTGTTGTAAACACCACAGATAACAGGTAAAAACTACCGCAACGACGGATTTCAGTATTAGGAGTCACATTGCTCTCCACGCGTATTGCGAATGACGCTAGTGACTACAGTTGTCCAGCTATGTAGTGGTTGAATGTACTATAACTTCAATAATTTTTTTCTCGGAAACTATAAGGATTTTACAATTTTTTTTTACGTGATTATCTCCATTTCTCATGCCGCATCTATTCCCAAATTTTTTTGGATAAGTTGTTCAATTCTTTAATGCATCAAATCCACCGTAGCTTTTTCTGTGTTGATATCAATAATTTCCAATTTCATTTTAAAGACAATTTAATTGTGCATCCATTAATGTAATAATATACAGGGTGTACCATTTGAAATATTTGGGTAAATTCAACTTTAACGTCACAATATTGGCCACATGTTCTTAAACACTCTGTATGAATTCTTGCAAATTTGACATAAACTGGTTGAATTCCATTGCTTTTGAATTATCCACGACAAATTTAATTAATAAATTAAGCTAAATGTTGGAGTTATTCTGTTTTGCAACAATCACTTGCATCCTCAATTTTTTTGAAAATTGATAATAATTTGAAAACTGTCACATTTTGGCCTATAGTACCTTATATGAAATTAGTCTAGAATTTACCATAGAATTAAAAAATGCAAAAATATACAGGGTGTTCCATTTGAAATAACAGAGTTGATGATGACTTCCGTTATAACCGGAAGTGCGAGAAAGTTGACACTATTTTCATTGAATAAATCTTTTTAATAAACCCCTCTATACAAATTTTCAGATTTCAATTTTGACTACTTTTTGAGATAATCCTACTGGGTCCTCTTCGTGATACACCCTGTATATAAGAGACAATTGAGATAGTTTTTATAGTCATATTGCAACTATTAATTTTGAATGGAATGTATAGTTAATACATACTAATGTTATTGCAGGGTCATCTTTAGATACAAGTGCAATGGAGAATCAGACAAAGAAGCTAAGCAGTATGAAACCTCCACCAAACGACGCATTTTACATGGTCCATTTACTATTTTTGTTGTTTGGTATAATGCATCTACTGCCAATATCATTTTTTGTAACTGCTAATGACGTAAGTACTCTATAGGTTTGTTCACTCAGTCTCAAAACTGATAATTCGTTGGTCTTGCAGAATTTGAAACCAATCTCAAACGGTTTGATGACAGTTAGCTGACTATCATCAAACCACCAGTTCGACGCATGCGTACAAGTAAATTTAGTGAAAAATAAAGAACAGAAGCAAGATGTTAAATGTTAAATTTTATAAATAAAAGCTATAAACTATATTGCATTGAAAAACGTACCAATGCAGTTTTATTTTATAATTACTTGTGCAGTAGGGTCATTATTGTAGTGTTACCTTTTTTAAAACTGACAAACAAATCATTCAAAAATGAAATGAGGTTAGGAAGTAGCTAACAGAAGGAACAGTATTCGCGCAGCACCAATTCTCGACCATGCGCATTGCAAATAGTTTTCAAACTATCAGGGATTCTCTGCGGAAACAAACCTGTGATTAATTATATACATTTTCTTTCATTTTTTGATTGTTTATATTTAATGTAGTTATTTACAAACACTTGCCACAATCATTCATCTACTTATCAATTACTTTTATTTTTTATTCATTGTTGTGATTACGGCTTCAGTTATTGATTATCGTTTTTTAGTATTGGATGTACAAGTTCAGGAACACATCAGCAGAAACCATTGATCCGAACGACAGATCTCAGCTTCAGTCGTATTTTGCTTCCGGGTCGACGATTGCCCAATCGGTGCCTACGATAATATGTCTGATGCTATCGACGATATTTGGATACAAAATAAGAGCTAGGACGAGAGTGCTCGCGTCCCTGTTTGTTTTGGCTAGCAGTTTTATTTTATCAACGGTGCTGATAAAAATAAATACGGACTCATGTGAGTATGGTATACGTTAAATCATTCAGTTTTTTTTTTAAACGATACATTAATACTTTATATTTACCTACACGTTAAACGAAAATGAGGGGACCGATACCTCTAGATATCGAATTTTTTATGGTCAACCTTGTAGGTATACAGGTTGTTTCTGAAACAAGCGCGTTTCTTGAAAAGGGTTATAGAGGCCACGAAAATGAGCAACTTTTATTAAGCAACTGATGGTCTAAACGCTTCCGTTTTCGAGAAAATTCATTAAGAAAATTTACCATAAATGTAAGCCGACCCTGTGCATCTTGTGCACGTGNGTTTCTGAAACAAGCGCGTTTCTTGAAAAGGGTTATAGAGGCCACGAAAATGAGCAACTTTTATTAAGCAACTGATGGTCTAAACGCTTCCGTTTTCGAGAAAATTCATTAAGAAAATTTACCATAAATGTAAGCCGACCCTGTGCATCTTGTGCACGTGCACGGCCAGAATACTTCGGACTAGCTACATAGGTGAAGACGTCCCTTTACAAGTCCATGCCCCAATGTTCTTTATGCATGAAGGTGTCCCTCCCTACGTTTCTCGTACAGTTTGTGAATTTTTACATATCAACTTTCCGGAAAGGTGGATACGTTGGCCAGCACGAAGTCCGGGTATGAACTGTGGGTACACATGTCCGCAAGTGACCCATTTTAAGTATTACGTCAAGAGCGCCAGTCTGACGCCGGACGGCCTAACCGTTGCAAGCGACAAGAAACAATGTGCAACGCGGGATTTGGCTCCCGGAGGAGAACTACGGTAGATTGGCGCCAAGGACCAGATACTTATACCTGCAAGCGACTACACACCAAGACGACTCTCCAGCGAACGCTCGGCTCGACAACCTTTTTTCTCACAAACTTTCAATAAAAACACTTTTATTTTACCGTTGAGAGAGAGTTTTATTTTGCTGCATACCACAAGCAACCCTCAAAACCTTCTGGAATTTTTGTTTGGAGATGTATGAAACAAAATGTGTACGGAACGCCTATTGTCCGCCATTTGCATGTAGTGGGACTAATTTTGACCGTTGTTTGTTGGCATGTTTATTAGCACAAACGGGATTTGAATAAATTTCAGCATTTTCGAACACAAAATTTAAAATGTCAAAACCGTATCAGCTCTTTCGCGCTGCGGCGCGCAGTAACTTCGACATCAATGGTACAGCTGGCTGCCACACGCCTTTAAATTTGTTTAAACCTTTATGTGAATTTTTTTTCAATTTAAAATGTAGTGTTTTAAACTATCAATTGCTTAATAAAAGTTACTAATTTTCATGCCCTCTATCGCCCTTTTCAAGAAACACACTTATTTCAGAAACACCCTGTATTATTGTGTATTGATCTTTGTTACTTCTTATAAGATATAAAAATATTTTTTTCTATCTTTATCTAATGTGTAGGGCAAGTACTGTTCTTTGCGTTGACGATGACGATTTTGGCAATAATGAATGGTAAGGACTCATGATATATTCAAAACATTACTTATTAGTTAAAACTAACATAAAATTAAAGTAAAATGAGAAACCTTTAAATTACTTATACTACATTTCCAAAATAGCAGGCAGTGGCTCATTCAACCTATAGATCTGTATGTGGGTTAAGATGTGCGGGGAATGCGATTCCATGGACGTATCAGTTTGGAAGCTTCCAAAAATCATTTAATATAGAACAACAAACAGATATGTAGATTTTATTAGAAACTAGATTATCCCTAGGAATTTGCACTCACTTTGGTATCACTGATAGGAAATGTAAGTAAAGCAACTAAAAGTACAAACACCACTGACAAATGTACCACCGATAAAACACTAGAACCATCACAAGCATCACTAATTTTTGTTGTAGTTATCACGATCACTGTCACTAACGCTATCATATAATAACTTCAACTCTTGTGTCGAGGTCCCACGTTCATTGTTCTTTATGCAGAAGTACTTCTATTATCTTCTAATTTAAAGTTATTTCGTGCCACATATGGTGGCAATGGAAAAAGTGTAACATTGTGAGCTTTAGCCACTTTATCTACTACACATTCTGTCTTTGGCTTTCCCTTTTTGTGCTAATAAATCTATCTTTAGCATGGCGTCTATATATATATAATATATTTTCCACTGATTTTTTCTTTTCTCCATGCAGATGTTGGCAATTTTTCTATTTGTCAACTATGGTAAGACGTATTATCCACGACAATCACAGCACTAGATCCGAAAGGGTTTCGACGAGGTTTGAATGACAAACTGACAACAAGATTTCGAGAAGTTGCAGCTTCAATTTTTTTTTATACACGACGTTAAGACAGAAATATCGGAACACTACGCGAAATGAACAGTACATTACAATTTCCTTAAAGAGAATACAAAAATTATTTTATCGCATTAAGAAATAGTAAATATTGTGGTTTGATTTGTTTATGACTACTGCCTGCAATTTTGGAACTTGATACTTCATTTTACTAATTTTGACGAGCGTTATATGCAATTTTACAGTTAACGAAAATTTGAACTTTCGAAATTTAGTATTTAGGCAAAATTTCAGATTAACTCTAACTTAATTTTAGGGATACTCGCCTTATTTCAGGTAAGTTCCTTCGTGCTCTTATCGAAATTTCCCGCGGGGTACATGAAAACGTTCCTCATCGGTCAAGGGGTAGGAGGAATCTTCAGTTCAGCTCTCCAGGTCCTCTCATTGGCCATAGGAACTTCTTCCGAGGCTTCCGCTCTCATTTACTTCACGCTGGGAAGCATCTTAACAACAGCAACTCTGGTCCTCTTTTACGTCAGCAAAAATGTCTGTTACTACCAGTACCATATAGATAACAGCGTGGAAGACACTAAGAGGGATATTATAAAAGTACCAGAGCTGATGGAGGTGTCGACTAGGATTTGGTCTAGTCTAGTAATCGTGACGGCAAGTGCTTTGGCTTTTGTGCCCACCCATCCGTCAATCGCTTCTTTGGTGGTTTCGGAATATTACGGTCAAGGGAGCTCTTGGAATGGTAAGAATTGTTTCAATGACAGATTTTCTCATTACGTAAAGGCGGTTTTCCACTAAACGGACAAAACAAAAACAAAACACAAACTTGTGTCGAATAAAACAAAACTGTAACTTTTCGCAAACTTTTTGAAGACTGGTGTGTTTTGCGACAGTTGGAGTTTTGTTTTTCGGGTCCCGCTCGAAAGCGGTCACATCAAAAGGTTTCGACGTGTTTTGAAACTCAAGTCTGTTTAGTGGAAACGGTCCTGTTGTGTTTTCTATTTAAGTGATCCAACCCAATATCTATGTTGGCGTTTTCTTCTTCCCAAAAACAATACTTTAATCATTAATGAATTATAGCTATTAAAAAATATATATGTGTACGGTTAAGGTGTTTACTTGGCTAGTATACAACATAACTAACTAACCAAGTAACCACTTCAACCGTACATATATACATATACTTTTTTTCCAAGGACTTCAGTATAAACCAGCCATAACTAAGAATAAAAAATCTTCTCTAAACATGTTCATTGGTTATTGGAAAAATGTATTCTGACTTCTTCGCGCCAACCAGTGGAAATGGACCGAAAACAAAAACAAAACTCGAACAAAATGTAGCCCGCTTGATGGAAACAAGAGTTTTGGGTTTGTTTCAGTTTTGTTTTTGTTTTTCAGGTTCTAGAAAACACAAACATGACATAAACTCAACTGTCTGTTTAGTGGAAAACCGCCATTAGCGATACAGGGTCTGCACATTAAAGGGACATTTATCTGGTAAAAATAAGCAAAACAGTTTATGTAAACTTTAGTAACTGCTACTTTGTATCCGTCGCTATGTATCGGTTACTTTATAACCGCTATGATATATCAGTTACTTTGTAATGTGTACATGACAACCGTTGCTATAACGATGCCAACTAATGGTTGCAAACTAAGGGTTACTCTGTACCGTTACTGTTACTTTGTAATCATTATAAAGTGACCGTTACCTTGCAATCGTTGCATCGGAATCGTTAGTTGGAACTGTTGGTTGAAACCGTTACCTATAACAATTATTTGTAACATTCCTTGAAACAATTAGTTTGGAACCGTTTTTTCGAACATTATTTTGGAACCGTTACTTTGGAATCGTTACTTTGGAACTGTTACCTTGAAACCGTTACTATGGAACCGGTTCTTGGAAATACTATTTTGGAACCGTTTGTTGAAACGTTTTCGAATAAACGGTTCAAAAAAACAGTTTAGAACTGTTCCTTAATTATTTCTCTGTTCGAGCAGTTCTTTTGAAAACGTTTCACCAAAATAGTGCATTTACGCACCAAGGTAAAATAAACTATTTTGTTTATTTTTTATTTTTGGTATCATCTGTCCTATAGTGCAATCGAAATTATTTCTGCTTGTTCCAGATAAATATTTTGTAGCTGTCATAACTTTTCTATTCAGTGACGTGTGCGCCTTAATAGGAAGGGTACTAGCGGCAGCTTTCACAAAGGTACCTATGAATAATGTTCGTAAGCAACGTTAATTTAAAATTAAAAATCTGTTCCTAGACTTTAAGTGGACCTTGGCTGTCGGGCATAGCTGTCTTAAGGATGATACTATTCGTACCGCTGTTCATTTTTTGCAACGCCCTACCACGGCAACATCTTCCTGTTTTATTTCCGCACGACTGGCAGTATATTTTAATATTGGGAGGTTTTTTCATTTCCAGCGGGTACCTGTTCAACATTGCGTTTCTAAATGTGACAAAGTAAGTGGAGTCTTTTTCATATTTCAGGGTGTTCTACGACAACGTGTGTCCGATTCGTTTTTGTTTAGAAGTTACAAGCATTTTAAAAAAATATTATTTCATATTTTCAATCAGAGCTTGTAGAACACCTTGTGTATAACGTAATATTATTTGTTTTAAAGTTACACGAGTATAAAAGATTATTTTTTTTTATTCTATACTGATGTTATATTCCAGACATGCACCTGGCAAAGAAGAGACTGCCTATCTGCTACTGCAGACTTGTATTGGAATATTCGGTGCTGTTTTTTCACCTGTTGGCGTAGTTTGCGTTTATATATTATGACGTGTAGAAAATATGTCTCAATAAATGTTTTTTTACATAAAACTTAAACCCTGATACTTAAATATTACATACATTGAGAAAATAAATTTCATCGTCATCAAATCATTTTATTTGAGAATTGAAGATTTCTTTAGAATTAAAATATTAAATTTTTAGTTCTAAAAAGTAATTTAAGCAACTAAAATGAATTAAAATATTTGCTGTGTACAATCTCTGTATACCTACCTCTGTTTACTATTAGAAAAGCTATCTTATATCACTACTAAAACTTTTTAACTGTTATCGCCAAATGTACAAACCTATGCCTTTAAATAAATTAATTAATACGGATTTCATCCATAACAATGCAGATGCACACTACATCCTAGGCATGCACAGTAATGGTTGATGATGTTCTCCTCTACATGTTCCGTTGACTTTTCGCGGCTGCGCAGTAGGTAGTAGTGGTAAAAATTTTTACTCGATCTTTTAAGAAATAAGCAAATTAGCCCTTAACTCCCGTTAAGTCGGCGCCCTACTCGCAACAGGAAACACGCCGGCCGGCGGACTACAAAGTATTGGAACGTTGAAGGGAAACAGCTGATTTCCCCAATCGTCTTGATTTTGCAATTGGTTTCAAAATTAAAGTGCAGGGGATCCCAAGTCTATTCGCAAAGTGCTATGTAGGGATAAGTGTTTCTTTAGCCGTATTGGCATTTTAAATAGGTAGGTACCATACTACTCTTTGAAAAGTAATTAAGTCACTAGGTATATGTACTACAAACTAATGATTAAGATTCGACAACAATTATTATCCTTATACAATTATTTTTATTAACAAATGAATAATACTGTTAATATTTAAAATGTAAAAATAGTTATTATTTACACCATAAAGGAGATAAGTATTATTTACCAGTCGACGACGATTTTGCGCCCGAGCGGAGCGAGGGCTGGCAATAGAGTCCGAGACTGGTAAATTATACTTAACTGCTGCGTGGTGTATAACATTTTATCTGCTTCCACAGTTATCTATGGTTCATGAAATAAAGATTAGGTTTTATTTTTTGACATTTCTTAATCAATTCATTTTGACATTCGAAATCTTGAAAACTCGTCTTGGTTGTTTGGATTTTGTCGTTCCTAAGGTGTTTATAAACAAAGCTGCATAAAAGTTGCAATTTTGTTGGCTGGCATATTTCATGGAGAAGTCAAGAACTTTAAAGTTACCAGCGAGTTTGTGGAGTGAATAGATACTCAATGATTAAGTCAACTATTTTCATAGAAGAGAACGTGGATATATCAAAATACCCCAAGCTGAGAGCATTTTTGAAACGTAAGAATGACGGCTATAGAACAAGCCAACGATTTTTTTGTTCAGGCACCCGATAACACATATTTGCTAGTGTAGTGACGGTCTTAGGCATTGCTTGAGCATGCCGTTCTGATGAGTTATACAAACTTAAGTACTTTGGACAAGGTCAATTTCAAAAATGTCGATGACATTTTTGTAGTTACAATCCCAGATTCTAAAAATGGTATGTCACGTACGTTTACAATCATTTCTCGTCAGGGTTCTGTTTCCCACTTAGAAATTATCAAGAAATATATCAAGATTAGAATGGAAATTAAAACTGAAATTTCACTCTTTTTTATGCAGGTAGAGGTAGACGTTACAACCAACCAGTCGACAAGAATACCCTTTATATGATTCCTAATAAGATTGCACAGTTTTTTGAAACTAGAACATCCTGAAACATATACAGGCCATTTATTCCGAAGAACATCGGCAACGTTACTTACTAATACAGGAGTTGATGTATTAGCAATCAAGATACATGGTGGGTGGAAATCAGCCACAATTGCAGAAAGTTATTTTGTCGACAGTTTAAGTAACAAAAATGAAATAGCCAACTGGATTCTTTACAATGACACTTCAACTCAAGGTTCTACTAGTACGTCGCGTCATGCTGTTTTAATGGATCAGTAAGATAATATTGAGCCTTGAACTGTACAATTACTATAAATATTCATTCATAATAATTAATAAAATGTAATGTTCATCAAATATTTCTATTTATTTGTTCATAAAATATGCATTTATCTAACTCGAAATCGCTTTTTTTCTCTAGGTAGGTAAGTAATTTTTTTCAGGGTAAATATGTAGATACTTTCAAATTTTTTTAATAGTATATTCGTATTCTACTCATTTTTCATTATCTTCCCTTAAAATTAATGACATTATGACTGAATCACTCTGTATAACAAATAAATACAAAAACTGAAACTTTCTATTAGTTTCATACAAGATTTTTCCCTCAATGTAAATTGAACGCGATAATAAAACACTATCTGTAATAAATTGTTTAATTGTCTTAAGTTAAAAATCACAGATAAAATAACAGCACCAACTTCAAATATGGCCCGAATCTTTTTATTTACACTTTAGAAATCGTTTACTGATTCTTCAAACCTGTAGGTATACACATCCCTTCGAAACCGTTTTCGTGTAAATAAAAGGATCTGCTATACTGAAATGTACATTTTTCGTTTCTACACATTGTACGAATTTCATTTACACTTAAAACATGTATAAAAGACTGTAAAAGGTCCCTTTTCTAAACACATTAAGGTAAAAGCGAAGAATAAATAGTGATTGTATCATGTTGACTCGATCCACTTCTTCATGATGATTGTCTAGCAGTTTTTTTAATATTATTATATAAATAATATTTACCTAACCTATATTTTTTCGTTCAGTTTTCATTTCAGTTAAACACATCAACAAACAATGCTAATTAACATATAATCAAGTTAAAAAATCTACTTAAATAGCAACATTAAAACACTGGTATCTCGCATTGATCCTTGTCGACAATGTCGTCGTCAAGACACATCAAGTACATGAAAGTAAAATACAGCCCTGGGGCACTCAACAGATGCCAGACATCGTGTTTGTCGTAGAAGCCCAGTAGAATGCAGTTTTGGTTCCACTGTCGAGATTCAGCCGGGGTTACCTAAATATTTTTATTATTAATATTTCGCCTAAAGTTGTTGAACTATTTTTTTTTCTAAAGTCATATACAGGATGTTACTAAAAAAGTTTCTCGGGATGTAAAAGGAAAAGTTCGTATGTACACCCATGCTAAAACTTTTTGCTTTAGAGATTGAGGGTGTTAAATGTATTGAAGGAAAATTAATAATAAAAATGTAGTAAGTACTTAAAAAAAATACTTACAGTCCAAAGCGTGGCGGGGTCTAAAAAGAAAACCGACGCCGCTGCCCACGCCGCTATGCTCAAGAGTCCATAGCAAACAGCCTCAAAACATATCCTTTCGCCATGTATTAACTGTAAAATTCGAATAGTTATATTTGCACTAAAATAAACAATATAATTTTGAAGATATCTCACTTACGTACACTTTTTAATTCAGTAAATTGTTTTTATATTAAAAATAACCGAAGTTAACGTTGTTAAAATATGTGGTTATTTGTTACTTCGAACGCGATGATATTTATTTTCCTAAATTAGTAAATTAACGTATACAGGGTGTGTTTAAATGAAGGAGCACAAATGCTACCGGATCATTTTGAGAGCAAAATATGATCATTGGGCCAAATATACTGTAACTTAGGGGTGTTCAAAAAGTTTGGAACCCCCTCTCTATCTCAGAAAATACTGCTGGAACAAAAAAATGATTAGGACAAAAGTTGCAGGGTTTTGAGTGAGCGTAAAATTAAAAAATGACCTATACCATGTCTTTGACCATGACCTAAAGGTGACTGTAACGTCAAACGTAAGCAAATAACTTAAGTTTAATAATGCTCTTACGAAAAACGGCAAAAAAAGTATACGGTTCCATTTAAAATTTTCAACTTGACCTCTAAATGACCTTGAAGGTCATAGTCAAGGTCATATCCGAACGTAAACATTTTTATTTTCTCCATTTCCGGGGTCAAAAATATACGGTTCCATTTAAAATTTTCTGGTTGACCTCTAAATGACCTTCAGATGGTCAAGGTCACCGTTAGATTGCTCACTCAAAACCCTGCAACTTTTGTCCTAATCATTTTTTTGTTTGAGCCGTATTTTCTGGGATCGAGGGGGGGTTCTAAACTTTTTGAACACCCGGTATGTATTTTGACACGAATCCGAACTTGTCTGTTCGGTCTAAACAAACTTTTTGCTGATGCCCAATATTCGGCTTTTCCGCGACTTTTCCGGATTTTCAGGATTTTAAAGCGATTTATATTCAAATACTGTGGGTGCTTGAATAAAAAATAAAACTATAATGTCGAATTCGAATTTGGCGCGTTAAAATACCATAGGAGGGGGGGAGGGTGAATCTGCGCATGATTTTAACTAAAGAAGTTCATATAGTTCACCGTGTCCCAAAATGATGAATGATTTTTCAGTTCAAATTTTAAAAAATTCCTGAAACAGGTCAATTAGTAAATAGAAATTGTCATTTTTCTGCAGTATTTTCTATTTTTTTGAACCATATTTGACATACATATAACATTACCGACATTTTTTTTAATAAGACGCTCTATATTTTATAGTATAAATAGTCAGCCCGTCTAAAGACGAATTCATTGATATAAGGTTACACCTACTATTTTGTCATAGTTTTCAAAAAAATGTAAAAAATTGTCTTTTATGTCGTACTGACGACTAGTTCAAACAATCACAGTCTCTTCTGTACTTTAAAAAACGTACTTCCTCTTTATTAATCTTTTTCTACTTACTTTAAAGCTTTTTTTTCTAAAAAAAACACATCGATAAACACATAAAATTCACCAGAGTACCTAATAGGTATACGTCAATCGTTTTAGTTCTAATTCATTCGTTGTTAAATTATTTTGAAAAAGGGTTGCCCGATTAAGCGAAAAACAGATAATTGAAATTTTAAGTATGATTGGATAAAATCCGTAGTCAACATGAGGTATGCGACTTATTTCACCATAACTATCCAGACCAGAGAATTAGTCGAGCTACAATAAGTAAAGTATTCAAAAAGTTGAAACTGATTGAAGAAACTGGAGCTATAAAAGATTTACCTGAATCAGGAAGACGAAGAACTGTGAGCAAAAATGACCATCAAAATGTGATGCTCGTCGTTACTGAAAATCCTCATTGATCCATTAGATCTATCTCGGCCAACTTCAACTTGTCGAAGTCCTCAGGTCATGGAACTCTGAAGTCTCAAAAGTGGGATCCTTACAAAGTCAACGTCTTACAAGAACTATGGGCAGATGACACAGACAGAAGATTACAGTTTTGCGAGAAAATTAGAAATTTATTTGAAAGACAACCCAAATTCCATGATTTTCTCTGACGAAGCAACTTTTTGCTTTAACGGAACCGTGAACAGACAAAATACTAGGTTTTGCAGCCCAGAAAATCCGCATTGGATGTAAGAAAAACATACACAACGGCCGGAAAAAGTGAATGTTTGGACTGGAATAGTAGGAAATGGCTACTGCGACCTTATTTCTTTGAGGGTAATTTGGCAGGTGACATTTATTTGGATTTTTTGCGTTTTCAGCTGATTCCAGCCCTGGAATTAATTTTTCCTAATGCTAATGAGCACGATATGCCTGTTGGTGATGTCTAGTTCCAGCAAGATGGACATTTTTGCCTCGATGTAAGAAATTACCTTAATGAAGTTTTTCCAAATCGATGTATAGGCAGAAGAGGGCCACTTAAATTTGCAATCCACGCTCCCTTGACTTAACCCCACTAGATTTTTTTTGTGGGGGTTATGTAAAAAGCAAAGTGTATGTGAACAGACCAGACACTATCGAAGGATTGAAAAATCGTATCAGATAAGAACACAATATGTTATTCAAAATGTAACTGATAACTTTGAACACCGAATTGGGCCTTGTGCAATGGTTAATGAGGGCCACTTTGAACATTTGCTGTAATAAAATAAAAAGTAGTACCAAATTATAGTTTTCATTTAATTTCTCCATTTTTTGACAAGTAGATACAACCTCATATCGCTGAATTCGTCTTTAGAAGGGCTATCTATTTATACTATAAAATGAGGGGTATAGATGCAAAAATCACATTATCCACTTTTTAAAATTTTTCAGGAAAAAGGATTTCTCACTTTTTAAGTGACTTAAGACTCTGAAATTTTTTTTGGTATTGTATTAGAACTTTAACTTTGCTTGTTAATTGGTGAAATGACAGCACAACAATATTTGACTCCACGAAAGTGAATTAAAGTTTGTATAATGTGAGTTTTGATACAACTTTTTGGATAATGGTAGTTTTGCTCCAAATTATTCTACATAATATTATTTTTTACACCAAAATTCATGAAGTTAAAGGAACTTTGAAACAAACTCGATATCAATAAAACTTTTATGTAATATGGTAGTTCATAATCAAAATAAAAAGCTGCACAAAATACTTAGAATACGGTTCTATTATCAGTGATGAAGTGAAATATTTTTTACAAAATCTCTATCTTCAGAAATCAGAAACTCATAGAAAAACACGGAACCAACCATCTAGGAAAGCAAAACAATACGAGAAGCAAAAGTCACATTCTCCTTAGGCAGTCGGCCGATAAACCGATAAACCAATATGGTTTATCGCTTTAAGCTTTTTTCATTGGTGGATATATGGATAATGTGAGTTTTGACAACTTCAGATCGTAGGAGAATGTGACTTTTGAAACAATTCACAGATTTCACAATTTAAAAATAAATACGAAAATGTGAGTGAACAAGATAGCGCCACTAACTCTATTTCGAAAAATTATGAATAATGTGAGTTTTGCATCTATACCCCTCAAATATAGAGCGCCCTATTAAAAAAAAAATGTCGGTAATGTTATAGGTCTGTCAAACGTGGCTCAAAAAAATAGAAAATATTGCAGAAAAGTGAAAATTTCTATTTACTAATTGACTGTTTCAGCGATTTTTTAATATTTCAACTGGAAAAAAAAACATATGAATTTTGTTCCATCATTTTGAGACACAGTGTATACGTTCGTAAATGCTTCGTTGTCATTGCACAGGGTGTTAAAGTTTCAATAATTTTTATGTTTTTTCTTTATATCTTCCACAGTTTTTGAGATATGTAGCTCAAATTTGGAACGTAGGCTAACTTAGATTACCTGCATCATTAGACCTTCCTAATAGTTGTCACGATCTACAGTGTGATGCTTTTTCTTGGGTCGGGCCTCCTTTCAGCCCCGCAAACCCGCAAACTTTTTTCTGGTACGTCACTCTTTCTTTCCAGAACAAAGAGTTTAATTCCCTGTTCAAATTGAACAAGGAATTAAACCCTTGTTCTATAAAAAAACCGGAAGTGTCGGAAAAGTGTCGTACCGGAAGAAAGTTTGCGAGGCTGAAAGGAGGCTCGACCCCAGAAAAAGTATACAGGGTGAGACTTTTTCGTGACAACTATTAGGAAGGGCTAATGGAGGTAATCTAAATTAGCTTAAGTTCCAAATTTGAGCTAATATCTCAAACTCTGTGGGAGATATAAAGAAAAACCGGAAAAATTATTGAAACTTTAACACCCTGTGCCATGGTAACGAATCATTTACGGACATGTTTATAGAGGCTGCTTCCTAAAAAACGCCGCAAGCCATAACTCCGTCATTTATAGTCTGATTTTAAAAAACAAAAAATTATAAAAAAAATGGCTCTAAATACACTATAGAGTGAGCCTATTGGGGCGTATTTATTATTATTATTCTTTGAAAAGCGATGGTCAACTTTTTTTTTTAATGGCAATATATGTTTTTTTTTTATTTATTATTGTGCAGAATTCTATCATGAATTCAATGATGTATATAAAGTCTATTTTTGTAAAACATGTATTACAGAAAAAGCTTGAAAATATTAGTCAATTTCGCATTATTAGCGCCTGGTCGCTTAATTGACAACAAACATATTTTGACTAATCATGTATGCTTGGAAAACAAAAAATAATACAACAAAGCAAGGAAATATCATTTTAGCGTTCGTGTCCCAGTTTTTTACACATTATACTCTTTCTGTATCATTTACAGTAGGTTATTTATTGAAATAAGCTCGACAGTGCAAAATATGAGTAATACACAGCCACACAGAAAAAAAAAAGTTGGGTATACTTTTTATGCGACATATATTTTTCGTAGTAATTTGGCCTCCTGAACACGAATCTTAATTTTTTCCTAACCTCAAAAAACTTGTGAAAAATAGTGAAAATTGATGAAAATTTACTGGGAAAATTTGGAAAAAAATTTATTTCCACATCAAATAGTACATTTTTATGTAAAAGACTCTGCTGAATTCAAATCCACTGTCAGAATTGAGCTAGAACGTGTGGTTTTTTTTCTAACCTCAAAAAACCGAGCAGGAATCGCTATTTTCAAATTCTGAGCGGATTTTGACCAGATTTTGTATAAAGGGGTTTTTTGGGTCGCTGATTACGAATATGAATTCACATTGTAAAAATTCAAGATGGCTGATCCAATATGGCGGGTGTACTTTTTTGAAATCCACCGATTTCAGTAAAATTTGGCATCATAAGGATTGCTGGTTGATCTCACCTTCATTAATCACACATCTGGAGCCAGATTTTCATAAATCAAGGTAAAAGATGCCACTCCGTCTAAAAATGTGACTTCGCTTAAAAAAATGACTTAAGGACTCTACACATGTAATGATGTGTAGTGTGATGTGCTTGTTTCCATGGGACAAGACAAAAAAGTTTCTACTTTATTCTTTCATTTATTTAGTCGTGCATGGGCTTATGGTTTTCCAATCAGATTTTTTTAACTACTATGCAGTTTTCCTATGGCATTTAGATGCTTTTATTTCTTAATAATTTTAAAGTTCAAGGAAAAGGACACATTACTGCCACACAGCACATCACTGCATCTGCTTATGCCTTCAATCTAAAAATGTGACTTTGCCGAAAAAATGCCGCCTACTCGGCCTAAAATTATGACTCTGCCTACAAATTTTACCTTGATTTATGAAAATCTGGCTCCAGATGTGTGATTAATGAAGGTGAGATCAACCAGCAATCCTTATGATGCCAAATTTTACTGAAATCGGTGGATTTCAAAAAAGTACACCCGCCATATTGGATCAGCCATCTTGAATTTTTACAATGTGAATTCATATTCGTAATCAGCGACCCAAAAAACCCCTTTATACAAAATCTGGTCAAAATCCGCTCAGAATTTGAAAATAGCGATTCCTGCTCGGTTTTTTGAGGTTAGAAAAAAAACCACACGTTCTAGCTCAATTCTGACAGTGGATTTGAATTCAGCAGAGTCTTTTACATAAAAATGTACTATTTGATGTGGAAATAAATTTTTTTCCAAATTTTCCCAGTAAATTTTCATCAATTTTCACTATTTTTCACAAGTTTTTTGAGGTTAGGAAAAAATTGTGACGTGATGGGCCAATTCTGACCCCAGATTCGTGTTCAGGAGGCCAAATTACTACGAAAAATATATGTCGCATAAAAAGTATACCCAACTTTTTTTTTCTGTGTGGCTGTGAATCAATGACATAATTCAGGTATACTTTCGGTGTAATAAAAATCCTGGTACAGGAGTCCGCCTTTACAGGGAACTATTTCTTTACAGAGAAGTTCCAGAACTACGTAGATTTGTAAGACGAAGAAAATTTGAGAAACTATGGTGCTTTTAAGAAACCAAAACGAGAAGAACTCCAATTTAATGAAAACATCGAGTTCAATGTTCTTCTTAACGTTGAAGAAAACCCAAAAACTTCCATTCGGGAAATTTCTAATAATAATACAGCATCAAAGAGAACTGCACATGCAGTATTGAAAAAGCACAAATTCAAGCCACACGTCCCTCAAAAAGTACAGGCAATAGATGACGGCTACAATTAGTTTCTTTAGTTTTTTGTGTTTGTTCTTTCTTTGTTTAATGTATTTTGTGTTCAATTCCATGTTGAACTTTGTATAATCGTTAATGTATTTAATTAAATTGTTTTTCTTTTAATTGATATTCATTATATTGTTTCTTTTCTGTTAACTACAAAATTCTCTTTTGAGTTTTACTTGCTTTGCTGCATTATTTTTTGTTTTCCATGGCACAGATGATTAGTTAAAATACATTTGTTTCAGCGGCCGGGCGCCGAATGCGGTATCGACTAATATTTTGTCGTCTTTTCTGTAATAAATGTTTTACAAAAGTAAAGTTCATATACATCGTTGGATTCGGAAAATATATCTGCACAATAATAAATAACAAAAAAACTATATTGCCATTTGAAAAAAAAAAAATAGTAAATGAGCTCTAATAGGCTCGCTTTATAGTGTATTTAGAGCCATTTCATTTAATTTTTTGTTTTTTTAAATCAGACTATGAATAGCGGAGTTATGGCTTGCGGCGTTTTTTAGGAGGCAGCCTGTATGAACTTTTTTTCTTAAAATCATGGCCCCCCTGAATAAAGACATTTATTATGAAACACCCTGTATTTTTAGACTTGTTGATCATGTTAATAAAATCGTTTTGTTTAATATTGTTACCTTCATAGACGTGTAGAATATAGCGTGAAGGACTGCATTTGCCATTAACAATCCCAAGAGAAAGGTTCCAAAGTCAGTGAGGTTCTGAGGGTAAACGCACAAACCAGCTATGAGCAAACCGAGGTTAACTGCGTTAGTTATTAGAAGGAAAATGAATCTACCTGAAATAGAGTGCTGTAAGAAACGTGAAAAAATTACCAAAAGACACATTTACCTCTGCGAATTGGAAGGAATACGTCCGTAGAGTATCCCCTGGTTTTAATTTCCCGATGTAGTTCCTTAACTCCGTTCACCACGTAGTTGAGGAAGTATATTTTAAAAGATAGGACTATACACAGTGCTGTGTAGGACACAGCAAAGACCACCCATATTGCTAGGCCGCCGTTAAGGATACCCAACATTGCTGAAAATGTAAATTCGATAAGAATAGTTTAATAACGAGCGTTCAAATAAAAACGTGGTCAAGTTGGTTCTGAAAATTTGGACGTAGGGCGTAGCGTATAGCAAATGAACTTAAACGTCATCTGTCAAAGCGCTATATCGCCGCTATCAATTTGAATATTTTCGTTTTAAAAAGCGTTTAAAATGGTGTTTTCTCAAGAACAAAAAGTGTTTATCATAGAGTCCTACTTTAGAAATGGACGCAAGATTGATGGAATATGGAAGTATTCTATTGAGGAATGTTTCATAGAATTTCAAAATCAATTTCCCGGCGTTGTTGAGTACAAAATTTTTCAAAGTGCAGTTCAGCGTTGTGTTAATGTTTTTCGTGAAACGGGCAGTGTAACAAGAAAAGAAGGAAGCGGCCGACCTAAAAAGCGGACTGAAGAATTAAAAGAAAATGTCCAACAAATAATGGAAAATGCGCCAAGAACTTCTGTACGTGTTTTATCACAAATGGTGGGAGTATCAGTCGGTACCTGCCACACAGTGTTAAAAAAAGATTTGCGTTTGTTCTCCTATCGTTTAACTTGTCAGCAAGAACTTCATGAAGTTGATTTTCCGCGACGGGCTGTATTTTGTGAATGGTTTTTAAACAACTACGGTGAACTTCATAATATCACCTTTTTTTCTGATGAAGCCTGGTTTCATTTAAGTGGTTACGTAAACTCACAGAATATGAGAATGTGGTCTTCTGAAAAACCAGATAACTTTTTTGTCGAGGGCCCTCTACACGCTCAAAAAATTGGAGTTTGGTGTGCTCTCAATCGAAGGAGGATTTATGGACCTATTTTTTTTAATGGTACTCTTACTGCGCAAAGGTATAGAGAAGAAATTATCGCTCCTTTTGTTAACCAGCTGGAAGAAAACGAAATTACAAACTTTTACTTTCAACAAGATGGCGCAAGGGCACATACGGCAGGCGAGACGATGAATATGTTGAGGGAAGTTTTCCAAAATCGACTAATAAGTCTCAATGCTGAACATGAATTTCCACCGAGGTCATGTGATATTACGCCGTGTGATTTCTTTTTGTGGCCTTACCTTAAAAACACTATTTTTGAACTGCCTATTCCTGATTTAAACCATCTGCAGGCTCGACTTATAGACAAGATTCGTGAAATTAACAATACCCCGAGCATCTTAGAAAATGTCTTTAATTCTTTGAGGAACAGGTGTGAAAAGTGCTTGGAACAAGGAGGGGGACACTTTCAGCAGCTGCTTTAATTTATTGTTATAACAAGGAGGGGGACACTTTCCGCAGCTCCTTTAATTGTTTGTTATTGTTATCACGATTATTCTTTAAAATAAAGTTATATAGTCATTAACGTTATTGAAACTGACAGGTGCTATACAGCTCGTTGAGAAATGAGGTTAAGTTGGTCGCTATAAGCTACTCCCTACGTCCAATGTGTCAGAGCCAACTTCGACCACGTTTTTATTTGAACGCTCGTTATAACTATTATTACAGGTATTATATTTTTTCCTTTAGTTTTAGAATAAGCTTTACTGCAACTCGTGGTCAACTTTGCGCATGACAAAGGATAGTAGACTCTTAAATGAAAAACATCATGACCACACAAGAGACATAAATACAGGATATAACTTTCAGAACCGATATTTGGTGTCAAAACAGAAAAATTTAAGAGCAACATTTTTTCCATTTTCAAGGACTTCATGATCGGTTGTTATATAACAAAGCTAATCTACAGGATGATTCACAGTTTGGAACGTACTGATGGTACTATGCAAAATAGTAAAAGTTTGTTTATTGAATACGAAATACAGCGTGTCCAAGATAAGGATGGGATAGCATTAGGATCTAGGAAACGGTAAGGGATACGGGGTGGCCCAGATTAGAAAAAAGTTGTGTTATTTTATATCTAACAACGTCGCTGCTATTTTTATGACAAAATCTAAAGTCATTTTTAATTCTGAATTAGATGATATTACTATTGTAATCGCTTCAAAAAGTTTTTAGCTTGTTTTAGCCATCATTTAAAATTTGTCCTGAGTACGGCTCTGAACGCTTTCAAAATATCTATTAGAGGTCATAACAGTATAAAAGTCAATACAGCACAAAATATCCAACATTTTATACAAGGTGTCACCTAACGAATGATACATTCTTCAAGGGTATAATTTAAAACCCAAATGGTGTCGATTTAACCAAACTCGCTTAAAAGAAAAATATCGCAAAAAAGTTACAGGATGTTAAAGTTTCTTTTTTTATTTCTTGTTATTAACCGATTTGAGCAAAATTTACTGCTGCTTAGTTTCTCTCCAGAGATTATGTTCCAATTTATTAAATCATACAAATCGTTCAATTTAGTACAACCTTTTGTGAATATTCTTCTGTAACTTTTTTGTACGTTTAAATTTTTACACGGAACTATCAGAAATAGGTTGAGAATTTTATTCTACACAAAAAATGTATTATCAAAAGTCGAAATTATTCTCGGTTATGAAGATATTACAGTATAGTATATTAAATTATAAGTGGATTTTAAAGACCAGTTATCCACGAATAATTTACGCTATTTTTTTATTGGTACGCGTTGAAATCATAAATATTGTAGTTAATACTACAAAAAATGGAAATAAGAACTAATAATGTCAAATGGTTGAATTTGTGATATTACATCAGTATACCTTTCGTTGTCTTAAAAACGGAAAACAAAAATTAATTTGTAACTGTATTGGCACATAAGATTAATTGCTGTCACCACAGTTATTACTAGTTTAGTTGTATACAGGGTGTCTCATAATTAGCTGCCAACCCTGAACAGGCCGATTCTATGATGTAAGTTAAGTAAAAAAGTTCATATGAACATGGGTCCGGAAATGCTTCCTAAGGGCACAGGGACCCATTGAAGAGGGAGGAATGGAAATCATTTTTTTGCAATATCTCTCATTCGCGTCGTGATAAATGAATGAAATTTGGTATACGCAGCTAAATTTTGATGAGCAATTTGATGGACTAATCCATTTATTTCCACAAGGTCCATTGGGGTGGGTACGGGGGGGCCCTTGGTACTTTGCGTGTGTAACTTTTTCATCTTTGACTTTTTAACAAATTGGACAGCAAATTCCGTTTTCCCGAACTGTTTTACGTTAAAAAGGTACTCTTGTTNGAAAACGAGAAAACAAAAATTAATTTGTAACTGTACTGTCACATAAGATTAATTGCTGTCACCACAGTTATTACTAGTTGTATATTGTTTAAAAATGACTTCTAACATTGATTACTTAAATAGTAAAGCAGAATCGCGATTAATACCGCAAAAATCGCTTATAGAAAAGAATACGACAAGTTCATCAAAGGATGGAAGAGCAAAAGGTAACAAATACAGATAAACGAGTTGTGCTTGCTTATCTTCAGAAAATGTCAAATGTATTAATTTGAACACCATTTCATCTGATTTAAAAAACCGAAGTATTAATATTTCAAACAATACCAACTGCACATTTCACATTCATTTAAATAATTAAGATGTTAAATATTTGAATAAAGCTTTTGAAACATTTGTTAGTAATATTTTATTTGACGTTACAAGGTAGATACTTCTGTCAGATCAATAATTAAAAAGGTGACATTTAGACTTGACGTTTCTCGGGTTCTTGATATTGCCATGGTAACTTTAAAACGTGCGTTTTTTTAAGTTGGATTTAAACACTCTGGGGCGTGTTTTAAATAAGCAAAGCAATAAAAAAAATTTATTAACAGATACCCCATATTTTTGGAAATAACTACGTATCCGTAACAACATGACAATTTCGATGTCACTGTCAAATTTGTATTTTGCAAAAGTTTGTTTCTGAACATGCCTCGTCACAATGAATTTACGAATGGGAGACATGGTAGTGGTACATGTACAGGTACATTTTAGTTACGCGCTGCTAAGAGAACATATGAAGAACTTCGCAGACGAATCGCAGACGGCCTTCTCATCCTTTATTTGCTTCTTTATTCCAGATTAGGAAACTGGAAACTCTCGGTCGAATTCACGAAATGGAAGTTCAAAGAAGGGTACAAGACGAAGAACAAATTCTAGAAGGAGTAGAAGAAAATCCCGAAATTAATATTTGTCGTTTTGTCAGCAGTCACAAGAGCCGCAAAACCGTTTCAACTGTACCTACTCCACACGCCGCAGTTACAATGTTTCTATTTGTACAAAATTTGCTAGAGTCAGACCGCCCGCTGAGATTAACATTTTGCGAACGATTTCTCCAGTTATATAACAGGGATCACACTTTTCTCGGGAGAATTTCCTTTACAGATGAAGCTGTTTTTACCTGTAGAGGTGCTTTTAGTTGGAAAAACTCTTACGTGTGGACTGAAGAAAATCCACACGCAATAAAAGAGCATCGCTTCCAACACGAATTTTCAGTGTGGGATTATAGGAAATTTTATTTTGAGGCTCTACCAGCAAGGGTGAACACCCATTAATACTAGACAACAAATGTAGTTCATGTACGTTGGTACCCACTACCCCTGCTCATTACAGCCATTTGGTGAGAGATCATTTAAATCACACATTTCCAATCCGTTGGATTTCCCGAGGTAATGACTTTCATTGGCCTTGTCGCTGTCCGGATTTTAATCCGTTAGACTTTTACTTTTGACAGGAATTGTTTACAACTCTGTAACCTAATATGGAAGAAAAACTTTGGGATATAATAAAAGACGCTATACGACAAGTTAGTCGAACGTATAATTCGGTTCCTATTCTCGATAGTTTCATAAAACGTTTATAGTCCAGTCGGCAGAGGCCGAAAAGTTACTGTTGGTGACATTTCCTTGATAACTCGAAAATAACTACACAGGAATATTTTAAATGATGAGTACAATAACAGGCTAATTTGCAGACAAAGTATTTTATCAGGAAAAACAACATTATTAACAATTTAATCGTGAAAAAATTTTTTTTAGTAGTTTTCTTTAAATAACTCGTGGGATGACTTTGTACGAAAAAATGCTTAGGACATGATTTTGTTCGTAATAAAAATAGCTACAAAATGGCGGTGGTCCGCTTACGAAATTTGCAATAACAAAGCCGTGAGATTGAAAAAACGGTACCTATAAAACGTAATTTTTTTAAAGTTGCTGTATAAATGTCAATTATAAACAAAAAGTGATAAAACTTTCGAAGACTATAGTTCAATATATATACAATAATGATGCTATAGCCGAAAATCAGGAGAGCAAAACTTTTTGTTCTATAAGGTTTTATACATCCATCGGCATCTGAAGCTCGAAACTTTGCCAAATTTATTTGAAGTTTTGCTGACACTTGAAATTTGGTATGCACATAGTGTAAATATGCAGAAACCAAAAGCAATTTGCAAAATTCAATTATCTTCATTTTGCAGTTTTGGTAAGGTTTTATACGTCACCCTAGTTTTATACGTCACCGTTTTTTTTTATTTTTGGAAAAATTAATGTACTAATTTGTATTAAAGTAAGGCCAACTACTTACATTACTACAATTCAAATGTAATGAAAAAAATGTATCAGTAGTTGCCAACTTCGAACATTTAATTTAACTTAGGACATAGGTATTGCATCTTTCTTACTAACAGAAATGTGTACCTATCTCGTTTGGTTTACAGTTAATAAATAAAAAGTTACATAAAAAAGCTGTTTCTTTTAGGAACCTCTTACACAGTCAAAAACCTAACGCCACTGATACATACAACACAAATTAGTCAAAAACGAATTTTACATACAAAACACCATATCAGATTTTAGCGATTTTGCCATGCATCAAAATGGCTTTTATTTCTTTAAACGAAAACCGTTCGTCGTATGAACAAATATCAAGAGACCAAATTAACTCCAAAGTAAATCAGTATTACAAATATAATACTGAGTTTAAGAAAAAGCAGTGGCGTACTTTTTTTTTCTTTAAAACAATTCAATGCAAATCCTGTTCGAACGCCACTGGTAGAAATTTTTTGAAAACTTTTGCATCAAAAAATGTAATTTATGGTCAAAAGAAGTGTACCAAATTTTGTGGAAATATCTGGAGTGTTAGGAAAGTTTTGATAAAAAAGGCATTTTTTCCTTAAAACTTTAACACCCTGTATCTCGGAAACGAAGCATTTTCGGACATAATTTTATTTGAAATATTTTCTTATTTTCTTGCATTCTATACAGTGTTAAAAGGAAAGTATCAACTTAAAACTCACCCTGTATATTGAACTATAGTTTTCGAAAGTTTTATCACTTTTAGTTTATAATTGACATTTTTACAGCAACTTTAAAAAATTGACGTTTTATAAAGTTTTTTCAATCTCACGGCTTATTGCAAATTTCGTAATCGGACCACCGCCATTTTGTAGCTATTTTTATTACAAACAAAATCATGTCCTAAGAATTTTTCCGTACAAAGTCATCCCGCTGAGTTATTTAAAGAAAACTACTGAAAAAAATTTTTTTCACGATTAAATTGTTAACAACTTTTTTCCTGATAATAGTATATTATTCAACGAGCGTATAATGATGGGTATTATTCACGAGGTGAAGTTTACGGCCACGAGCCGCAGGCGAGTGGCCTAAATCACCGAGTGAATAATACCCATTATACGGGAGTAGAATACTATACTTTATCCACGACTACTAAATATTTTTGTTGAAGTTTTTTTTGTTTTTAGTTCGTTTTTTAACACAATTTAACACAAAATATCAAAACACTGAGAAATCTATGCACACAAACAATAATGTTGACAGGTTTGAGTCAAATTTGTTTTGTTTTAAAAGCTACTTAGATTTATGAAATGTTTCGAAAAACATGGTATGTTAAGCAACAGATATACGACACGCACAAACGAAGTCGCTGATGGCTCAGTGTAGATGCTCCTTCCCTTCCAACCGCGGGTCCCGGGTTCGAATCTGGTCTAGGAAAATTCACTTTTTTAATTTTTTTTTTATATGTACAGCACTGAATTGAAAATATTTAGTGGTTTACACGATAAAATTTTAAAAACGGATTGT